AATCTTTTATAACTGTGATATTTTATCTGTTATCTTGGTTTGACAGCTTCTTAATAAAAGACACAGACTTTTAGGAGGTGCCATAAATGGACTGCCTCAACACGAGTACTGAGGCTATAGGTGTGTGCATGCGTCTGTAACCTGAGGAACTGAATCTGCTCTGGAGAGCATCATGGTTTGCCTTGTTATAGGGAGACATCGGTGTCTATGGAACAAGGCAGTTTGTGTCAATATATATTTCATTTTGCTCAATAGAATAGGCAGAGGCAAAAAGATTAAGGAACGCACAAGCAGCAGTCTAAATGTAAATATCATCTGCTGTGACTGCTGACATGGAAGCATCAATCAAAGCAAGAGTGCAGCACTAAATCTGCTGCTTAAATTCTCAGTGTTATCACAGCTTTTGAGATCAGGGAGCAGCATGAACTAGAAAACCATAACAGCTCCATGCTCGCTGAAATGCTTGACCCACTATTACTACGGTTACAGCTAAGGATTACTATTTCACTGCCTCTTTCAAGTACAGTATTGTTGATTTGATGTTTTATACTCTTGTATTTTTGCACTTTAGAAGGCGCTTTGGGGAAAACATTACTGTAAAATACAGCAGCACTGTAAATTCAGATCTCTGCTGTGCACCTACCCTGGTTCTTTGAGCATGCTGACACCTACAACTTCAGAGACAGAGTAGAATTGCTGTATAGATTGCCAAGCATGACATAGCAGGCAAGAGTCCTGCACATGCCAGTCTGACTTGCAGTGCTTTGGTACCATGATGACTGCCTGGTGCTTGTTCTCACAAGGTGTTTGTAGTAGGAGAAGTAGGAGAGATGTTTGGGGAAGTGCAGTTGCTGCTCCAGCAGAAAGGTAATGAATTCCATTTTACTTAGGCTTTTGTTCCTTCAGTTACCTTTCTTGCAGATGCTACAGGGATATGTGGCTGTTGAAAACAAAATGCAGATTTGTAATCTTTTAGGTTAGGTAAAAGTTTGTGGGTTTTTTTATTTCCTATCTTGCTTTGGAGAGATTCAGGGCATCCTTCAGCCTCCCATCCTGTACTGGTGAACTCCTCAGCTCCATACATCCATGTCTATTTCACTCAGTGCGAGTGAAAAACTCATCAGCAATAATTTGTAGCAAGAGCTAGTTAAAATTGGGTACACATTTAAACACCTGTCTTGGGCAATAACCCAAATCCATCACTTTCCTGGCTCTGGAACCAACTTCCTTTCTCAGCAATTTTTTTTTTTTTTTTTTTTTTTTTGTGACCCTGACTTCTCTCCCCTGAGATTTTTTTCCATAAGATCTATTCTTAGCTTTCACTCACTGACCTTCTTCTCCTGTTTTAGTTCACCTGGTTTCCTGCAAGCTTTCTTTGAACACCCTGCTGAATGCTGTAGTTGCTGGTGGCTGTACTTGAGTGTACAGTCTCTTATGCTAGGCCACCTGAATCCAAGACGTGTTTCTAAACAACTAACTTGAATTGCATTTGTCTATGAAAGATGGAGCTGAGCAGGTTTGTCCCAGACTTGTTTGCTATATTACAGAGTTTCCAGCTACAGTTATGCACAGATACCCAGAAGTAATGTCTGTACCTATTTTTGGAAGAAACAAAGGGTTTGAAAGTGTTTTCTGCTTTACTGGAAGAGTACAGAAAGCTGCATTGTAGCAGCCTGCTATTCTGCCGTGAGAACACACCTCTCAGCTCCTTAGGGCTTCAGCTCACCATCGAACGGCAGCTGAGCAGAAAAGACCTAAGCAAGCTGATACACTTGTGTGGTTTGTTGTCAGTGGAGCAGGGCTCTCCAAGATGTAGAAGATGAACTGTGAATTTTGCAGTTAAGCCTTCAAAGTAGCTTGTGCTAGCATTCCTAGCACGTGATCTGTGACTTATAAAAGCAAGCAGTGGACCACCAAGCATGTTGTTCAGTAGTGATGTACTGAAGGAGCGCAAACTGAAACACTTGTATTCCTTCGTATGCAGCTGCAGGGTTAACTGGTCCCACAGGGACAGTCCCTCAGTGGGAAGAAGCTGTAGCAGACACCAGCTTAAGATCAGGGTTTTTTTCAGTTTGGTACAGCCAGGCGAGGAAAGTTCTTCTTGGTGCTGTCACAGGTTGTTTTCCTTCCAGAGAAAGAGCAGGGTGGAGAATAAGAAGGTAGGCTCCCTCTTGTCCTTTAGGTAGTCTGCTTGAGAGAAAGGGTACAGCCACTGACAACCACTGGCTTCCAACTGGTGTTGGCTCTGCTTGGCTCCTTGTATGGCCTTTGAACAGTGACATGCTCGTGTTTTCTTCTCAAAGAGCAGCGATAACCGCCTCCTGTACCAGGATACCCTTTGGAATGGTGTTAGCATGCTTTTCATCTCCGAGAAGACTTGCTGAGTGTTGAAGAAAACATACTGCAGGAAAATCAGATTATTTAAATCCTGGCTGGGAGGCCTTTGCTATACCTGCTTGCAGAACTGCTGCCGTTGCCTTGGTGATATATTTTGGGGTAGCAAAAGGCACTGCCACACTTGAGCTTTTGATCCAGCAGGCTCAGGACATTTGTTCCTCATTTTGTTTTCTAGAGGAGGGGTTTAGCAACCTTTTACTCAGTGCATCAAGGTCAAGCAAGATAAGCCTATACTTTTAAAAATAAAATTATCATTAAAGCTCCCCTAAGGCAGTTGGAGCGCTACGCCACATGATAAAAACATCCTAAAATAGGAAGAAGCACAAATAACTGTCCCTTTGAAATCCAGTGAAACTGAAGGGTTGGATACAGGAAAATGGAAAGAGGGAGAGAAAATAGGCTCAGTTTAACAACTGTACTTTGTGGGCCTCCTAAAGTGTTCTTTATTTTTTCGTCCCAGTGAAAAGCAGTGAGTTTGGGCCAGAGCTCCTTGCCCGCAGACTTTCCTGTCAGTAAATGCCCTACGCAGATGGAATATAATCACTGTATTCAGTGCCTGACTCTTTGTACTGTAAATCAGAAATCTTGTGGGACCATAAGGTATAAATAACTCTTAACTAATTATTTGGGGAATAAAGAATAGTTCAGCTGAGTCTCCTGCCGAATATGAAATTGCAGGACTCTCGTTCTCTGCTGCATCATTCTCCATGATAGCTGAATTACTCCTGCAGCTTCAGTTGCACGCTCATTCTCATCCCTCAAGTTGGGATTCTTGCATCCTGTACCTCACAAGAGAAGGGACTCTGCCAACTCAGAAGGGATGGTATGATACAGAGCACGGATCTGTTTGGATTCTTGACATAAGTCATATATGTTTCCTCAGGTACTTTTCACATACACAGGAGGTATGGCTGAAGGTAAGGCTGAAATGAAGTTACTGACAAACACAGTGATCAGAACTATCTGAAAAAGCAGATCTGTGGTTTCTCAGCTCTCCACATGCAGCAGATGGCGTGGTACAAGTTGTTCTAGCAATATTTCACAAACTCTCTATTGCTTGCAAGTGCAGTGTTTGGCAAAAAAAATTGTACATTTTTTTTCTTGAAATAAGGACACAGCCAAGTGAACAAGTCAGTGGCAAGAGGCTCCGTAAGCTATTGGGCACAACAGTGAGTTGTCACAAGCAGCTTCAGTCATCTTTTTTAATCTAGCTGAACCGCCAGCTCCTGTAATTAAGAGTTAAGAGAGGGCTGGGCTGTCTCCTAGTGACACTGCAGCAGGGCTGTCTTCAGGAAGATCTTAGTGCTAATTACAGATTCTGGGACAGTAGGCTTGAAGTCATGTTTTCACTGGCGTTCAGAAGAAGTGACCTGTTCTGTGACCCACTTGCTTCAGCATATGTCAGGTTCCTAAAGCAAGCCTGTCCTTGCTCAAATCAAATCATACTTTTTTGGTCTTGCTTTATAAACACAGCTAGATAATTGTTAGCATGGTTTATCTAGCCCATTTCTGGTAGTTGTCACAACTTCACGTTAACTGTCTTCTAAATACTGCTGACAGCTGACTAGTTCACACTCCTAAGATACTACACAGAAATCCAACTAATAGGAACCCAGCAGCAGCATTTTATACTCAGTCTGGTAGGGATATGTGTGGAAGTTACTGGCAGTAGTGCAGGTGAGGCTGCTTAGTGACTTGCCAAATTCGTTTTCACCTGCTTCTGTTTCAAGAAAGCCAAGGATGGAGGAGTGCAGACCAAGGCCCCACCTGGGTTATAACTGTTTCAGAATCTGAGGCCTGGCATCCCTGCTTGCCAAATGGTTAGTTGTTCTTGCAGCACTACAGAATTAGGAGTGATGCAGGGCTTGCTAGCTGTGGTGTGAATGGGTTCCTGATTGGCTTTGCAGGTGAATCTGCAGACAGGCGTTCAGGTTCCTTCCTAACAGCATTCAGAAATCACTTTGATAAACAGTTCTCATGGCTGTCTGGACCACCAGCAGGCTGTCATTCCTCAGCAGAGAAACACGGGCTCGTGCCAACTTGGTAACACAGTTGGGCTCTCAGGCCTGATTTTTTTCTGTCACTGCTACAGCATCATCACTGGCATCTGTCTGGCTTTGTGGTCGCTAAATATGTTCTTTTATTTTAAAGACTGATCTTGGTATTACCCAGAGAGATTGTTCTGAGTGTTACAAAACCATTGAGGCTTCCTGTTGGTAACACTGCAAACCACAACAACAAAGCTTAGTTCTATTACCAATATCTGCTGAGGAAGTTTCACGTGCTTTGTGGTCTTCACAGGAAGACAAGGCATCTCCCATATGGCTGCTTATCTGTGCTTGGGTTTAACATTAACTCTCACCTAGCAGCCTTTGCCTTTCCATCATGGGGAGGGGAGATAACGATGAGCAGAAATGCTTCACTGAGAACTGCATTGAATTCATGTCTGTATTTTTTTTTTTAAGTGTCATCTCAATATTTTCCTTACAACTGAGTTTTCCTCATGTCTTTCCTTTCCTCCCACCCAAGCCCATATAAGTCTTTCCAGCCACAAACACTGCCTTCACAATCTTGATTTATGACACTTCAATTAAAAAACAAAAAATTGTGTTAATCAACTTGGAGCTTGGTTTTATGTTGATCTGAAGATATTGTGATAATAATCACGTGAGAACTTCTCACATAAGAAAAGTTGCTCTTCGATGAAGGAAATCTCATTTTCCCTAAGCCAGTTTTTCTCTCCCCTGTTGTTAGATCATGTTACTGGTTTGGCTTTTGGGCTCATCTCTGCTTTGTTGCTGTTATTTAACACTGACATGGAACAGAAGCAGCTTCTTCCTGGTGTGTTATATGGCAAAGGGACAGGAACTGTTGTGTGCTGCTGTCTGGGTCAGAGTAGAGGAGACAAGAGTGAGAACATTCTGCAATTGTGACTCTGTGCACATCTGGCCTATTTCTCCTTCCTTGTTATTGTTATAATTCCAACAACAAGGCATTGAGTTTTCATCTCTGCTGTTCCTGTTTGTTTTTGTCTCAAGTACAACATACAGAAACAAAAGAAAAAAAAAATCTGCTTACCTTCAGAAGGCCTCAGATGCACAGGGATCTGCAGCAAAAGATGCCCTCACTTCCACTGCCAACCCTTAAATGAGATCTGGGAAGGGGTGGATCCTGGCTTCAGCCCTTCCATCACTCAGGTTCGTTGCACCCACCTGAGCCCTGCCTTCCCACCAGGTGCTCAATCACTGCTTCAGGCCATGACTTAGCATTTCTGTTATACCCATGTTCAGTTAGGCACTGACCTTCCCAACCGTAACCCTGCACAGCCTAGCAACCTCCCTACAGTCTTCCCATGGTACCTGGTCCTGTTTCCACTGCCTGTGCATTTTGTTTCTGCTCTCCAGTTTTGCAGCAGGTCCCAGTTCAGCCACACCAGGTTCTTGCCTTCCTTTTCTGAGTTCCTTCACCTGGGGATGGAGAGCTCTTGTGCCCTAAGGAAAGCTTCCCTAAAGCTTCATTTTTGTACACTGGAGATGTTATCTTAGCTGTTCAACTTGAGGAACAATGCTTTAAAATACTCTTTTTCTCAATATTATTTCAAAGCCTTTGCTGCCCTGGATTCACTGCTAACCAGCAGTGTCACAGAGTTAACAAGACTGTTTGGTCCTCCTGCTGCTCAGAAACGTGGGGGAGGCTGTGCAACTGATAAGAATACCAATTTTGTGTTGCTGCTTAGAAAACCAAAGAGCAGAAGGTATTTCTGAAATGTATTAAATGATGGGAAGAGTCTGGAGGAACAATTGAGTTAAAAGGCCCTGAAAGGATTTCCAAAGAAATCATTTTAAAGAGTAATTTCTGGTCCAGAGACCTCACGTATCACAGCTTTCCAATCAGTGAAACTATGAGGACTAAATGAAGTCTTTGGAATGAATGAATAAATTATAATAAATAGAATGGAATAAACGAAGCCTTTGTTTTTGCAAACTTTTTAAAAATTGGTACAAGTGATGTCATGTGGGAAGTGTGAAATGAACTCTTCACAGACACGTGAATAGCATCTGAGATCCTTTGGAACAGTTTGTGGCACAGCTTTCCTCTCCCATTCAATGGCTGGGTCCAGCAGAGCTCTGGGTTACGCTGCTCTGAGCTGGGCTGTGTGAGATGGGCTCACTGCTTGTTTCGTGCAGCTTCCTTACACTTTAATTGTAAGGCTTTCTTTGAGTCCAGTACAAGAGGGAGTGAAACTGTGTGCTTTGTCTCGGAGCTGAACTGCAGTTCCTATTCTGTAACTTTTTTTCCATCTTTGAAGTAGCTATAAACCAGCAAATAATAATGGTGTCTAATAGTTGGCAGTTCCAAGGCTCAGATTTAAGGTACCTAGATTTAAAATAGCAACTTCTTCAGACTTGAGCTTTCAATTTTAGATGTCCTACATATCAGAATATCCCTGATCCTCGGTGCAGATGCCCTTTGAATGGCACACTGATTCCAGAATGAAGGCTGTGGTACAGGCAGGACCTCGACCAGCTGCTGGGAGCCTTTCTTTGATCACTTGGTGATGGCATTCAGTTCTGCTTTGGTTTCAGACCTGCTTCCTTCACTGTCTGGATTGGCATCAAGCAAGGTGTGATGAGCTGTATGGTTTGTGCAATAACCTGTATGAGCGATGAGGGACTGCTCTCTGCAGCTCAAGAGAATCCGTGCTGTGCCTCCTGACCAGAGATAGATGTTTCTCTGGTGTCTTTTTCTCTATTTTCAGACAGGGAGAGTCGTAGAGCCTGGGAAGGGACCAGCAGTGTTTTTGTAACTGATACCAGCATGAAAGCTGTGCTCTGTCCCAATTAGCCAGTGAAGCACAGCAGAATACTTCCCCACTAACCATAAGCTCTGTGCTCTGTTATTCAGCACTATATTTGTTGGTTTTACCCAGTAGTTATTTGTGGCTGGTTTTAAAATCTCGAGAGTAAACAGAGAAAGCAGAGGTACCGTATCAGATTAAGAAGGCTTTGTCTGGAGGAGATCCTTAGAATAAATAAGGAAATGATGTATCATGTCCCCTCAAGAAGCTTTGCTGGTATTAAGTTTTCCATCGCTGTAAGAAATGAGCTGGTTGTTCTTATAAGAAGCTGAGGCTTTGGTTTGTGTCAGTGCAATAACTGGAGTCTGACAGGAGGTGCAGAGGAGCAGCCAGCCTGCTTTTCCCTCTTCTTTCTCCCATGGATGCTGTGTGGTTTAAGAGTGCTGTGCAAAACTGGCGGCAGCTCAAATGGTGGTTTGTATAAGCGTGCCATAACTGCCTAGTGGAACCCATGGCTGGCAGCTTCAGCTCTTGCTTTTGTCATAACAGTATGCAGTGCTGTGCCGGATTGTCTGTTTTCTCTTTGTAGATCATCATCATTCAATATACTTCAATTCTTTAGGGCAAAGACATCAGGGTGCCATGACTTTCTGTGCCTGCCTTGTGGTAGTGTTTCTGCTAAAATACAATGTTCTTCTCTTTTCATGGGCTGGGGTTAAGGCATAAGTTGGCTTCCAGGTCCAGCCTAGCGAGACTGAAACCCAGCAGCCAGCAGTTAGAAAGAAAGGAAGAAGGGAAAGGGGTAAATTGCTGCTGCTTTAGGAGAAAATTGTTTTCCAGCCTACCACGAGATGGTGCTGCAATGCTTTGACTTAATTTCTCTCCTCCTGCAAGGTTCTTGTTAGCCTTGAAAAGGGAAGTTTTGTGACATTTCTATGTTACAGTGCAGAGTTGAGGTGCTCATCTGAGCCCTGACACTCCTGCTGTGCTCGTCCGTAACAAGTGGCCCACAGCCAGGCAGTCGCATTGCCTGCCATTGCCTCCAGCACTAGGCAGTGACAGGCCACATGAAAAGGAGTGCACTGGTCACAAAACAGACTTTTGGAAAAGAGATGTGAAAGCATGTTTTAAAATATAATTAAGATGGACTTCCTCTGGTATGCATATTACTGCCTAAATGCAAGGGCATGAGCTCTGGTGTACTGTAGCTGTCCTTTTCTTCTCCTCTGCACTTTCCTAATTTGTTACGAGACCTTAAGTGCATTTCACATCTTAACATCTGGCTTTGTTACATCCCCCCATCCATTATTTCCTCTTACAGAAAGGTTGAAACACTCTCCATCACATAGTTGCCTCCCAGTGCTCCCCTCCGTGGCCTACTGGGAGATGAGCTCGTCAGTTTTTAAACCATAAAAGCTATTACAGCTCAGTTTGTGAATAGGAAAACAGGCTTCAGTACATCACCCGTACAGAGGTGCTTCATTTAACCAAGCTGAAGATTACCCTTCCTGGGATTACTCTGGATTTGCTTCTAGGAATTAAATAGCTGTTGGAACTGGATGATCTTTAAGGTCCCTTCCAACCCAAGCTGTTCCATGAGTTAACTTGAGAAGCAAGTGTCATCCTATGCTGAATATATGGTGTGAAATAAGGTTGTCTGAGGCTTAGGTGGAGGGCGGCAGAACTGAAGGTCCAAGGGCAGATGCTGGAAAAATGACCATTTCCTTTCCTTTGGGCATTCAGCTTTCCTGCTCAGCTGCCCGAATCTTTATTTTGAGCCACATCTGATCTGTAAACGAGGCAGGTGAAATCACAGAACAGTCACCTTCCATTCCGTCAGCATATCACAGTTTGTCCTGTGAGGATTTTCTCTTACATACTGCTCTACAGCTTTCCTTCCTTTAAGTCTACTTTCTAGTCCTGCTATTCCTTCTTGTGTTGTCCATTATACGCACCCTTATTTCTCCTCTGGTTTTTATCCTTCCTATCATTTGCATAACTCAATATACTTGTTTTTCCCCCCTTTGCTTTTTCTTGCTCTGAGCAGGTCCTGCCCCTTCTTATCTTGTTGGCATGATATCTTCCTATCTGAAGACCACGTCCTCTCTCAGTGGAGCAGTCTATTCCCTTGTTCCCTGCCTTGGTGGACAGATGAAGGATGCCAGCTCTAGAACCAGGAATACAGGCAGACAGGAATGGAAGGAAATGTTTTTTCCTCCCCATGAAGATAACCAACCAAAAGAATATTGAATAAGGATATTGAAATAAGTAAAAATCGATGCTGTTAAGAAAACCTGTTTTCTTTAGTACTTAGCTACTTAATCTATTTTTCCCATTGGTAGGTTAAGTAAGCTTATAAAAGGAGGGCAGTGTTTCGTTGTAGAGATAAGGCACAAGGCGCGGGCAGACAGGATGGTTTGTGCTGCAGAGCTCTGGCAGAACTGCTAACGCTTTGAAGTCCATGCTACACACTAACACTGTGTGCTTTCCACAGGTCCAGCTTTATTTCCAAGCCCAACTATAGAGGCTTTGTGTTGTGCTTCACCCTGTGATGGATTTGCTTCTCTTTTTTGATGCTAGAATTTAACTCGCTGTAATCCTACTTCGTCAGGATGGGGAAGTGTAGGAGAGTTTATGGAGAGAACATGAGTGGTGTTGCACACCAGCTGTTTTTGAAGTCTGGTGTGCTTTGTATTGAAGGCGTCACTCATTAGTTAGATGCTGAAAGGATTTTGTAATGAAAGCTCTAATGTGGGAGGGATGGACGGCCAACAGCAGTTTGAGTTGAATTCTGCCACAGCTTCTGGCAAGTAGTAGTTAGCAAGGGTCTTTGGTTTGAGTTTAGACCTTCCCCTGCACAGATGGAGCTCAACACGAGATGAGTCCCAACAGCTGAAGAGGGCTCAGTTTATCAGAGTTTTTCCTAGGTCCCTACTGGTGGCCTTAAGGGCTGCAGAGCCCCGTTCAAGTGGTCAGAATAATGCTAACCTTTTGTGGCGGTGTGGCTAAACAGAAACATTGCCCATAGAAACCGCTGTGGGTTTAGTTCTCCTTCCTCTTTTCCTCTGCCCAAGTTGCACCTTCCTGTCATGCACTGACGTTTCCCTGCGTTCCCTGCCACCCTTAGGTGCTGCTCTGCTTCCGTAAGAGTGAGGTGCCCGTCAGCAGTGGGCCGAGAGCTCCGCACCCAGAGCTGAGCGTTGTGCCTCCCCGCTCTGAAGGGATGACCTGCACTTCATTTATGCAGATGATAGCAGCCACCTTCACGTCTTAAGAACAAAGCCAGCACTGTTGTTTCTCCATGATTATGTTGTACCTGTCATTATGCAGGAAGCCCTGCCCTGTCTTCAGAAGTAACATCATTAAACCTGTGTATTTTAGTCGGGTGAGTCAGTTCCACTCCTGCTCTTGAAGCGTACATCTGTTGTGAGTGTAATTTCACCTTACTGGGGCCAGCAGTAGCAATGCCAGTAGTATGAAGTCCGTTATAAACAAGCTCTCTGCAATATTCACTGTATAGAATTTTTGGAAGTTGTGTTGAGAATTTTTGAAGAGAGAAGACTTGGATTTTTTTCCTTCAAGAGGAATTAGGTGTGAATGTGAAGGTGGATAAACAAGTGGGTTGATTATTTGACCAGTTTGTCTCTCAGAAAAATCTCGGTTGCGTGAACAGATCTGTTAGTTTCTCTTGTAATTAGGAACTTACTTCTTACACTGGTAATATTCAGCTGCATTTTAATTAGACCAAATTCTCAACAGAGAAGTTTGACTGAACAGTCACGCTGGACACGGCTAATGAAAGGACCTACCAGCCTGGATTACTCAGCCCTCTTGAGGCTGCTTCATGTATTTGATATTAGCAATTTGATGTTTGCCATTAATCAGTTTTTCCAGCTTTAGAACCTGAGGTGTGACTCTGCGTGTTTCAATTAATGGTCTTGCTAGCAGGAAAAAGTGTCAGGCTCCATGCAGGTCTCTGGTGGGTATTCGTGGGGTAATCTCTGTATTTCACTGCTGGATTTGTGTGCTGTGGGTGCTTTATTTGGTCTTTAAGGGTGTTTCCTTGTTTTGGGTTTGTGTTTTTAGTGAAAGCATAACCTTAAGGGGCCATTGCCCCGGGATCTCTGCTGATCCTTCCTGCAGCAGATTCAGCATCCTTGGATGGAGGAGCTCCCATCTGCTGACTGCTGCTGGGATTCAGAATTCCAGCCCCTGCTTCAGTCTCCGCAGAGGCTGACTGTGCAGGCTTCATTCAAATGTAACTTTTTATGCTTGCCCAGTTTTATTTTAGATAGTAAGAGGTTAAGATCTCAAAGCAATAATATGTTCACGTAAATATCATTCCTTGCCTGTCTTCCCTAACTGTTTCTGAGGGTTTGGGCTCAGTTCTGTGATCTGTCAGGAAGGTGTTACTTCTAAGCACTTTGTGCAGCACAGTCACGTAGCTTTAAGTGCTTACAGCAGCATGAAAGCAATGGGAAGGCTGTTTCTGGCAGTGATGTTGATGGACGGGAAACATGCCATTAGTTCTAAAGACCCTTCACATGACTTTCAAATGTTTATTAGCTTCTGATTCCATTAAGTCTTCCTGAGCTGAAAGGCCCATTTGAAGCCTGCAGCAGGTGAGAGGCAGGTACAGGCAGAAAGAAGAGAGTTCTGTTTCTCCATTTCCAGAGGCAACATCAGGCAGCTGAGTTTAGAGGTTTGCTATGCTTTTAGTTACTCAGATGTCAGATCTGGAGTAGGTTTGCTTTGAAGGGGCTCAAGAGGGAGAGTGATTTCGAGAGGAGCAGTTGCAGCACTGCCTGTTGCTTTGGAATTTCGGATTTCAAGACGGCACCTGGTGCGCTGCTGTCAGCCGGGTCTCGAGCCCTGATCCCAGAGGAAGCTCTTAGGGTGCCTGGTTCTTGAAGGGATACAATGCAGCCCTGTGTAACCCAAGCAGTCAGCTGTCCTGACAACCTACATAGGCCAGCAACAACTGGGAATGCTTTTCTGTGGAGTGGGAGGAAGAAGGAATGAGGTGGAACTCTGTCAAATTTGTCAATAATTCAATTTAAGATGCTAAAGGAATCTTGGACTCTGGCAGCAGGAGGTGTGGGGGCACTGGGTGAGGTTCCCTTCTGGATGGCACGGCTGCTCCTTGATCTCAATCTCAATTCAAAATTTCCATCTCCTAAAACAACTCCTAATTTAAGCAGCAGTTACACGTATCCTCAAAGCTGTGAGGCACAGCTGGCAGAGACCTCGCCGTGAAACAGAACGCAGCTGAAGTTCTGTAGGCAGAGGTCTTGTTTTCTGCCTCAGGTTAAGTTGTGGGTGGGTGCTGGGTAGGGGTAACCACTGCTCTGCAGAGCCAGAGCAAACGGCATGCTGAGCCAGCAGCAATGCTGACCTCGCACTGGGAAATCCCAGCCCTTTCCTTCTTCCTTCCTCCCTCGGAATATATATGGTACATGGAGTAGACGAAGCACAGGGAGAAGCGTCACCCAAGTGTCACACCAGAGCAGTGACAGTGGGCAGAACGGCTTGCAGGTAGGAACGCTGGCAGCATAGCGAGCGGTGCTGCGCGTGCTGCTGTGCCACCAGGAGCGCAGGCCGTAGGAGAGAAGCCTCAGACAGCAGTGCCAGTGCTAAGTGGGAGACAGGCTCCTTAAAGCACTACTGCTGCTTCTCCTCCAGCTGTGGCGGCACGGAGTTGTCACTTTTCTTTACTGCTCTAAAGCCAAACTGGTTGAAAAATACCTGCAGGCTGACCCTGCTTTGCCTGCGTCCAGGCACGTTCAGGTCTCCCATTATCTGCTGTGTGCTTCCTAGATGCAACTCTGCACTTTTTAACTACTCTTTCAGCTCAGCGTTTTCCCTTGTCACATCTTATGCCTCCCACCACAAGATAGCAGTATTTGGTAACCAAACCCAGTCGTACAGCAGACTAAGCACTGGCTGTATGTCTTGTTGGAATGCATTCATGTTTTTGTTGTATGAACCAGAGTGAGGAGTGCAGCTACTGGAGAGCTGAGTAAATAGACTTTTTTGTTCCTAACTTTTCTTTACCTGAGCTGTTCTTTTCATCTAAAAGCTACTGTCAGACTGACAAGTGAAGAGGAAGAAATCAAAAGAAAGCAAGATAGCAAAGTTGCTGATAATATTAAATTGTTAAAGGCTACAGAGAGAAAAGCCAGTTGAAAGACTGCAGGTTGGAGAAATGATAGAACATTCAGCGTAAGTGTGGATGGTGCTGCGCAGGAGAATGACTCCAACTTTGCAGGTGGGGTATTGAGCTCTGAGCTGTGTACAACAGCAGGAGAAATGGATCTGTGAGCTGTGACAAGGATGTGTCATGGCAACAATTATCCATTACAAACCTGTATAGTCATACTTAATCATGATATTTACTCATTTGCAGTTATTCTTCGTAAGGAAGATGTCTATTTTATCAATGTACCTGCAGTTCAAACTGTGACTTCTTGTAGCTTTGATTGCTTTTAGATTATGAGTGTAGGACTTGTTCAGCCTTCCTGTCTTCGAAGGACTCCTTTCCTTCAAAGCTGTATTAATTCTGCTGGATTCCAGGACGACTCTTCAGAAAGTGTAATTTCAGTGAGTGCATTCTTGTTTTTAACGCAAGGTCTGGACGCACGAGGGCTGAACATCACTGGTAAGGAGATCTTAAGAAACAAATGCATGGCACAGCCTGAAACTGACAAGCTGTCTGCCCCGAGTAGGAATTGTGGGGTTTGTGTTACCCCAGTTATTTGGCAGCTGTTGGGAGCGGCGCTGCTGAATGGAGTCCCTTGTCTGCTCAGCAGAGCCAATTACAAGTGTCTGGGTTTAGCCAAGGGGAAGTGGAACAGCAGCCAGTCTCTAAGTTTAGTTTGATGGACGCGCTTCTCTGACTTCACCCGCGCTTATTCACGTTGCCCCCCACAGCGGGGGGTTGGGGCTGAGAAGGAGCAGGACAGCTCAGAGCCCTTGAGCCTGGGCTGAGCTCCACGTGAAGGGCTCTCCCTGGTGCCGCAGTCAGGACAGCGTGCCATTTTGAGCACTCCTTCCCGCTCAGGACAGGCTTCTCTAGGAGAAAAGGAAGCGCTGGCTTATTTTCTGAGGCGTACGCATTTCGTGGAAGCGAGATCTTAAGTATCGAGTTAAACATAGAGTAAATATTTTAAAAAGGGAAACTCGTCTTTGTTCGAGGGAAGAAAATGGCTGTGGGCAGTTGGTTGAGCAGCATCTCAGTCCGTGGCTGACAATTGAGGCTGACAGCTCTGAGATTTATTTTTAGCTCGAGAACTTTGTCTAAACCAGAAGCACTGCGTAGCTTTGGCAGTTGCTGCATATTCACTGTGGGTGGATGGAACTGGGCAGTCACATCTGTGCTAACGAGCATTCCGGGATTGGATTAAAGAATTAAACTCATGTACTGGAAACTGAAGCTCTATCAGCTCACCTGGGGAGCTCCACCCTCCGAACACCTTCCAGAAGGTAAGCAGTGCCAGCTACCCAAGGTATTGCCAAAATAGCCTCTTGGGCTCAGGTCCTGACGTGGCTCACATTGATGTCGTGAGATTGATGCTTCTTTGACTCCTGAGATCGCAGGTCAGTAAGTTAGGCTTACTCCTTCCAAGTTTTCCCTGTAACTGGAAAGGCTAAAAATAAACCTCAACAAGCTGGCTGAGAAGCAGATGAATGCAGTTGTTGTTCCAGGTGCTGAGTCTGAGGAGGGATGCTAACACTGTAGTGCTTCTTATTGGAAGTCATTATGTCACTTGGAAAGTAGCTTGGACATTTATGTCGTGTGAACTCCAAGGGCCGATCGGTTGCTGCTTTACATCTGCAAAATGAACCTCTCAGAGCTAGGCTAGGTCAGTGCAGGCATTTCTGGTTTGCTTAGGGTTTTTCAAGTAGATTTCTGTAGAACTGTAACTTCAAATTCTTGTCTTAACACCGAGTGAGTAAATAGCAATCCATTTGATTTGCATGGAAGTAGATAATATCTCAGCTTTGATCTGGCCAGAATTAACGACTCCTCAGAAATTCCATGGAGGTGTAATTCACATTAAGCTATTTCTGCCCCAAAGTACTAAACCCAGATGACTTGCTGTAAGCTGTCATAACGTTGGGCCAGCCCACCTTTCCTGTAGGGCTGGGTGACCTAATCCTTACTCTTTATAGTGGAGTTTACTGGAACTCGCCATGACTGAGGAAGAATGTTAAGCACTCTTTTGATCTACACGAGTGGTTTCCCAGTTATCTTTGCTGGTGTCCCTCCATAGCACTCCTTTCCCAAAACTGCTCTTGCGGGAGTGAGTTGTAGTCTACTGTAGGCAGGATTCAGAGGACCAAAAATTGGACCATCATCACCTCTGTACTCAATGGAAGGAGGTATGTAATATAGAGCACCTAAGGCTGGTGGTCTCTCTGCTTCTTTGTGGATACTGGCATTGCAAAGCTAGGTAGCTTCATAGGGGCTGAACCAGTCCTTAGTAATTAAGCTAACAGATGTTTTGATAAGACATTCAGGATTTTGTAAAGAGGTTACAGGTGTAGTTTTTCATTCAAAAATCTGTTGTTCTATATCACTTTTAATTGCATTACAACTTCTTTCTCCCATAGGAGAAAGTTTTTCTTGTTCTATCATGTGTTAGATTTTGCTTCCTCACATGGAGGTGTGCTCAAAGATTAGTGCATAGTGTTGTCCTTGACCACCCTCAATGCCCATGATGAGAAACACCTGTTGTGCTTTTTTTAATCATTGTTAGGTCCAGCTCACTTGTGTTCAAATTAGTTCCTCACCTCAAACGCTTTCAAGTGCACATAAAAATCTGCATCATTTGTTAGCTGTGTATGTCCCAGAGTCATTTTCCTGACAGAGTTCCATGAGGATAGGAAATCTCAGAGGTAATAAGTAGCATCCATCAAGTGTTTCTGCTGAAGGTGGCTGATACTTAATCTGCTTTGAAACTCTTACAACATTGCTGCTACCAGATGCTTCACAGGAGGTTCAGTCCCTTACATCTGCACAGCAGATGAGCTATGAAGAAATCTGTGCATCTTGCATTCAGCAAGGAATGGTCAGAGATTCTTAGATTAACACTTCGGTGCTTAAGCTTGACTTCATTCCAAATTCTGTATCAGAGTGATGTTTCTTTACCAGGAAGAAGCTGCAAGTAGGGAAGTTCTGCAGCAGGTGATACTGAGAGCAGTGGTGTGCTGTAAGTCACTGACAGCAAGGAAATGTGCTGATGGACACCGCTGAGATAGATCTGTCAGTCTCTCCTTCCACCAGTAAAAATACAGCAATACCAGGTATTGCCTTCCCTTAACTTTCCACCTCAAACCAGCTCAAAAACATGTCTTATGTGCCACTCCCCACCGCTTTCACCACAAACTGAATGCAGAACATCTCATGCAGCTCTTTACCACATTTAAAATAAATCTGTTCTTAAAAGGTGAGCTGTGTGGAGAGCGTTTGGGCTCCCCATGTGTTTCACTCCCCAGTACCAGACATCAGTTGTTAACCTTTTCCTGTGTCAGATGCATTCTGATACCTGAGGGAAGAAGGCATACCAGCTTGGCTTGCAACATGTTTTTGTGATGAGGAGTCCTCATGATGCAATGTTGTCACTGACTCTGATGCCTCCTCCCACATTCTGTCTCTCCCAGCCTGAGACCATAAATAGAAACCTATTTCTTGCCCATCCCTGTGCCTGGCTTGGAGCTGTATTTCTTGGCATTATGCAGTGAGTTGTTTATGGCACTTAAACCTCACAGAGCTGTGGGAGGCCCAGAGACTAATTATGGATCTGTGCTCAGCTCAAACAAACCACATTATTAAGAGCCTGCTTGCTTGCAGGAGAGGAACACCTAGGAACAGCAGTTGGTTGGGTCACCCGTATCTTACCAGAGCCATATGTGAGCTGTCCCAATCCTTTTAAGCTGATGTTTTTCCATGGCTGCACACGTCAGCAGGAAGACTAGGTGGTCCATCAAGGTAAGGCCTCAAGTCTGTTGCTGGGGTAGAGAGTTCATAGGCCTGCTTTTGTGCTGCTGAGTTATTAGACAGCAGCTACTTGGCCTGGCCAGCGTTGGTTTGCTTGTAAGGATGGATGGAGTACTTTTGGTTAGTAGGAAGTGCTCAGATTGGGTTTCAGAAACAAGGCTACTGTAGGGTTTGATACTGCTCCAAACGTGTCAGCAAAATAGGAAACCTTGCTGCTGTGTTATCAGTTTTGTGTCCTCATCTTCGTTAATGCGGAAGGCCTCCCACTAACAAGCTGGTTGAAGCTCCTGAAGCCTGGCACATGAAGTGATGTTTGTTTAGAGGAAAATGGCAGTTATACCAGAACCACTCAGTACTCGACAGCCCAGTTCCTGTGGTCCAGGCTGACTAATGCCTACTCCTCGTTACTCTGTTAGTCTTGGCAGCAAGGGTATGAAATGAGACCGGGTAAAATAGCAGCGTGGATTGATACTTGGTTTGAAAACCCCAAGTGGAAATAAAGCGAAAGATGTGGATGCATGGGGATCTTGGTGGCCTTGTGTTCATGTGTCCTCTTGTAAAACAAAGAAGGGAAACCCAGAACACCCACACTGTGCTTCTTGGTATTAAATGCTATGTCAGTGACACTGTCCTGTAGCTCTTGGCCTCTCTTCCTTCCTACAAAGTCATGTTGGCCTGCTGCCAGCAGCACCAAACCCCTCAGAGCTGCATTGCTATTCGCACTTTTGTTTGACTGGGAGACACTGACAGCTCGTATGTTCCAGATGTAGCAAGTTTTAGAAGCTGCTCATACTACTTATTTCAAAGTCGTGCAGTCAGCAAGATTGCCTTACATTAAAAGCAATACCTCAGAAGGGAGGATTTAAGTGGTAGAGGAAGGTTAGCCGTGCTCAGGAAACTGCTTTGAAGGGCACAGCAGGGAATAGCCCAAGGAGCTGGGAAAAGCTGCTCTGCCTGAAAGGTTGCTGCTTCGGTCAAACAAGTGGAGCGTACCAGAATTCATGTCTCACGTTGTGCACTGAGTGTGAGGGGAATAGGAACAGGATGTTTGCTGTGGATGTGGATGTCAAAGTGATGGTCTGCACAGTAGAATAACTATCCAGCAACATCAGTCTGGAAGAAATGATGCTTATCCTGAAGTTAAAAAGAAATCTGGTTTCCTTCTGCCTGGGTGCACGTGCCAGGCCTTTACAAACCTGCCCTCTGTGCAGGGACATTGGTGCCCTGCCCACACCAGTGCTGGCTGCTGGCCGACTGCCCCGAGCTCACCTACAGCTGGCCGTCACAGCTCAGAGAGGCTACAGACAGCACACTCAGTGCCTGTGCTGCCTTGCTGCATTTGTAACCCCGATTCATTATCTCCTAATCCTTCCTTGTTCCAGAGATACCACTTACACATCTGTCGCATTGTAACAAGCAGGCTAATAACCATTTTGCTTGTTAAACTTCTGCAGCTGATATTAATTGAGCAACGAATTAATATGTAGCTCTTTATTTCCTAACACCATTTCAGACCCACCTGAAAAGCTTATTTGCTGCAATTATTTGCTCTGCCTTTCCCTCACATTATTATTCTTTGTGTATTAATAAACACGCTGTTTCAAATACCAGCGTAATTGAGGGCATTCAGAGCACACAAGAGAGGGAAGACAAACTGCAAGAGGAAGAACAAACAGGAAAAAGCTAGCCTGGGGGTTCAGAGGTAAAAGCATCTCAACCTCCAGCTGGCAGCATGCAGCAGGATTCACAGAGGTTTGTTTTGGAGAAGGAAAGGATACCTCTCAGTTGTCACAGGAACTTTTGGAAGCCAACTGTATGTAGGTGTTGTAATATATTCTGTCTGGTTGCAATTTCCACTTGCATTAGTGAGGTGGAGAGGGAAAAAGCTCATGATACAGTTCACACAGGGAGAAGTAACTCTTTGCACAGCCTACATCCAGCCTACACCTGTTCTGCGGTGACTTTTCACACCCACAGCCTTACAAAACAAACGCTTCTAACAAGCCCAACTGCTCATTTCTTACCTTCAGTCTGAGCTGCGCCCTCATCACACGAAGCTGCCGCCTTCTTCACAGAGCTCACGGCCGTAGAAATGCTGCTCTTGGCTGGTGAGCTGCAGCACCTTCTGCCTTCTACAAAAGGCCAAAGCACTTGCTGCCCTTCCCCTGCTGCCTTTTATACCCCTCTGCAGGCCCACCAGCCTCCCAGCTGTGGGACTGCCACCGTGATTGCTTGTTTTTTAACCCTTCCTCCTCTGCATTAGAAGAAATCTGTTCTGCTACCAGCCCTAGAGACTGCTAGAGAACTGGGGCTGCTGAGGACTCCCGCAAACAGGTCTCACGTTTGTGACAGGTGATTTGACGGTGCCCTTTCAGAGAGCAGCCCTGAACCTTACTAGGTGAGCAGCTACGCAGCTCAGACCGGGCATGCTGTGCTGCCTCTGCTTTCTGTTTCTCTCGGAAACGCTCAGCAGCATTTTCTCTTTAAGTGCTCATTCCTCTCTTAGGTTTAATATTTTGACTCGCATCACTTCTGCTCAGTTCATGTGAATGGTACTTGTGCACTGGCATGGACGTGGAGTGGAAAAATGAATCAATGTGGGCAGTCCCCTTCACAAAGGATCTGTTTGGCAGTTTGCACAAAGGAATTTCTCCAAGGAAATGGTTTGTTTTCTTCCCAACACTTTGCTGCCCAACTCCTAGTGACACAGAGCTCTGCAGCTCACGTCAAAATTGCTTCATCTCACAGTCCAGCCTCCGCATGCCTGGTTTGTTCAGAGCTCCCTGGGAAGCTCCACCCTTCCTAACCAAATAACCGCAGCTCCCTTGTTCCTCCTCCACCCGTAGGCTGCGCTTGCTTTTCCATTGGCTGCCACTACTGTCTGCACGTGGTGGCAGCCCAGCACTTCTCGTGGCAGTTAGTTGGCCTTTTGCTTGCTGTGCGGCAGGCATGATTGTGGGCACGGTGCTGTTCCAGCCCAGCTATGGCAAAGAGAACAAGCTGCTCTGCTGCCTTGGCAACGATGCCTCTGAGCCTGCGGGGTCGAGCTTCACAGGTAGGATGCTTAGGGAGGTTGCAGTGTGCCCTCCTGTTCCTGTACTGCCCTGTTGGCTTAGATTAGGGTGTGGGACCTCTCAGCTCTTTGTCTTATGTGGGAGCAGGACTCAGATTGCCTGCTTTTATTCGGGATTATCAAAAGGCTGTGTTTGTACAAGCGTTAGTGCTTCAGGAACACAGACCGTGTCAGCGCCTGATGGGTTCTGCTACTGAAGATGAGGTGTATGTTGGGCTCTCATTCTGCTCTTGAGCTGAAGAGATCCGTAATTGTAGCCTCTGTGGCACAGGGTGGGAGGCAAAATGTCTCTTGGTGGTGGTGGCTGAATAGGAAAGCATTCATGTCCGGAGGGAAGCAAAGTGTACTGTGGGAATAAAGGAGAGGAAGGAGGTGGCTGAAGCCTTGCTTGTAGAATAAATGATGAGGTAAGTTCTCAATTGTATAGGAAATGAAAGCAATCACATATGATTTATGGTTAGGCTTTGAGTCGATGTCAAAGAGAACTTCCCAGTTCACTTCCTTGCCCTTGGTGTGACCGGAGCTCCGAGGCTGTTCAGTGTGAGAAATATCCCATGTGGTGTGACTGGCTGTCTCAGCTTCCTTACTGAGCTCTTTGTGATTACTGTATTGAGCTCAGCTTTCTTATCCTTGCACATGGGATGGCAAGGATCCCACACTGTAGGTTACTGGGGACTGGATGCCTGTGTGCGAGCTGGGTTAGCTTGAAAAGGAATCCTAAGCCATACGTTGGTTGTGAAATAAAACAAGTGTATGTGTTTTTGTTTAAAGCTTTTGCTGTTTCAGCAGCTGTACAATTGAAAGGAAGAAGTAATTTAAACACCATTAAAGTATTTCAGAGCAGAAGAGTCGGGGTGGTTTTTGGAAGCTGCCTGCTTTTGTGTTTGCTGCTTGTAGCCAGCAGGGAAGCATCACTCAGGTTCTCTGTGCAGCACACCGGTGAGCCACTTTGCTCAAGGCACCAAACCCCCTCCTGCCTTTCTAACATGAGGCATTGTTGGAGTATAAAGAATGTGTTATTTAATTACCATCTATTTGTACTCTATAAAGAGAGCTGGATTTGGGAACCACTGTTCTTTTCTGTTGCCACTTAAGCTGTTCCTGATGCATAATAACTGCACAAACCCAGCCCTAAAAAGCAGCAGCCATGTGCTGGCAGCACAGCGTGGTTACTCTTTATCTGACAGTCTGGGATGTTGGTAATTGCAGGTGATAGTTGAGAAGAAGAAAACACAGAAATACTGCATCTGTAGAGAATGAAGCCATGCTTTGGTAGCTGTGGCTCTGTCACTGCTGCTCTTGCTAGGAGAACCTCGATAGGGTGGCACTCTGTCATGGCTGGGAAGCAAGTTATTCGAGCAGTGTGATTACCAGAAATGCAGGCAAAAGCCACTTAGCTGTGTGTTTGGGAACAAACTAACAAACCTCAGTCATTTCCTTTCCCATGTATGTATAATAAAGCTTACAAACAATTGAACATGGATTCTGGGAAAGCCCCTACACTGAAGTTTTCCAGGCTTGAGCTCCATCACGTGGCACAGATTCAACACGTGTTTGCCTGTTACTTGGCATAGGCCTCTTCCTGTTCTGTCTCTCTGACTTCCCAACTCTCCCATCTGTGTTGCTCTCGAGCTCTTTGTTCTCTCCATGTGCCATGTTGCCTGGCTCTTGCTCACATATGTAAGTCTCATGAGAATGTGTGGGAGCCTGGTGGGGTGGATCCTCTTGCAGCAGTCTGCTTCAATACATGCTGCTCCTGACTTCTCAGACCCTCAGGAACAGGCCAGGTCTGCTTGTGGGGTGGTTTCATGAGTAGATTCAATGAGGGGCATTGGGAACACGTGGTGGGGCAGGAACAGCCCTCGTTGTGCCTTCAGAAGCATTACTTCCATTCTTACAGTTAGATGTATTTTTGCCCCTCGTGTAACTGCCGCGTCTTTCTTGTGTCTTTATTCTGAAATGCAGCCAGCTGCTTGTTCCTGGGGAAACCACAGTATGGATTGGAAAACCCTTTTTCCATAAAAACCATTTCACGACTGATTCTTCCTCCCACTTCCTTGTACTAGCAAGTATGCATCATCTGAAGCAGTCAGACAGACTGCCCTGTGTTCAGGAACACTGCTCCTAAATACCTCGTGTTATCCTTATTACTTTCTATCCTTGCCAGTTTACCACTTTATTACCACTTTGAAATGTGTCACAAATCACTACCATTCCTACTGACTCTGTCACTGTCGCATATTATTTGTCATAATTCAGTCTGTTTTGCCTCTATTCTTAACATTGCTTTCAAATCCAAGCTACTTACTTCAGCTGCAGAAACAGACTGAAATTGTAGCATTAAAAGACTTTAAAAGTTCCTTACTTCACATCAAAGGGGCACGTTTTATTTCTTGCACATACTGTGCAGTGGGAGCTCTGCTCTGCTGTGCGCCAGGCTTTGATTTACTTACAGCTGTAATTTCCTCTTCTCCTCTTCCTTCAGAGGCCCTGCACCGCCCCTATGGTTGCGACGTTGAACCCCAGGCACTGAACGAAGCCATTAGGTGGAGCTCCAAGGAGAACCTGCTGGGAGCCACTGAGAGCGATCCCAACCTCTTTGTTGCACTTTACGACTTTGTAGCAAGCGGTGACAACACACTCAGCATCACCAAAGGTGAGGATCTGAGTTGCAGGGCAGCCACGGGCTGTATGCTTAGCAAGAGAGAATAGAACCCTGCTGTTGTTCCATTGGAAAGAGTGAGTGCAGTTAGAAATTATTCTCGAACCAAGGATTACAAGCCTATGGTCTCTCTCTCTTGTGTTGGAGAGACACCTGCTGGGCAGTTCTGGTACTGGTACACCTTGGAGTAACTGGCCAAGGATCTGACCCAGGTACATCCAGGCTGCCCAGCTCCCTGGCTGTGAGGCAGAGGAGAATCTTTACATTGTTGGTGATGCAGAATTCAGGAGCTTTCAGCTGCAGCCAAATCAAGAATTAAGAATGTCACAGAAGAATTTCTGTTTAGGAAGTATATCAGAATATGCCCTTCTGCACAATTGTTAAAAAAACAAATGCCACATCAGGCTTCCGGATGGAGACAAACCTCGTTCTTCCAAGTAAAAAGGAAAACACTTATCTGATCTAAAATGTGGACTGCAAGAAGCTCTGTGAACTTATTGTTTACATTGCAGTAAATTTGGCTGAAACTTTACTGATAAATACTTTGCGTACACCAACAAACAAGGGTTAGCTGGTGGGGAATGTCTCTTACTGAGACCAGTAGATCATATTGTGCTCACTTTGCTTTCTTCCCTCCTGGCTCGTAGGTGAGAAGTTGCGAGTCCTGGGTTACAACCAGAATGGTGAATGGAGTGAGGTACGTTCGAAGAATGGGCAGGGCTGGGTACCAAGCAACTACATCACACCAGTGAACAGCCTGGAGAAGCACTCGTGGTATCACGGGCCGGTGTCACGCAGCGCAGCAGAGTATCTGTTGAGCAGCCTCATCAACGGCAGCTTCCTGGTTCGTGAGAGCGAGAGCAGCCCAGGGCAGCTGTCCATCTCGCTCAGGTACGAGGGCCGTGTTTACCACTACAGGATCAACACCACCTCCGATGGAAAGGTAAGGATTTCTGCACGGCGCTGTGGGGAAAGGAAATCTAGCTGCCTTCTGCAGGTGAAAATTGCGCAGAGCAACATTCATTTGCTCAACCCAACTGAGAACAAGTGTTCTTAACATCTGCTTCTGTTACCGTTTTTGTTTTCTCTTCCAAATCTGCCGGAATGTTTTTACTGTGTCCATTTTCCAGCACAACTGAAAGCTCTCAGCAGCCTTTACCTAAGCAGATTCCTGATTTGTTCCTGACAGGTGTACGTGACAGCAGAAAGCCGTTTCAGCACGCTAGCAGAACTAGTGCACCATCACTCCACGGTAGCAGATGGACTGGTGACGACTCTGCATTACCCAGCACCCAAGTGCAATAAGCCCACTGTGTATGGAGTGTCCCCCATCCATGACAAGTGGGAGATGGAGCGGACTGACATCACCATGAAGCACAAACTCGGGGGAGGGCAGTACGGCGAGGTGTATGTTGGTGTCTGGAAGAAATACAACCTCACCGTGGCTGTGAAAACATTAAAGGTGAGTTATCAGATTGTTGCACGCTGTTAATTTGGTCAGCGTTGACGATAAGTAGAAGGAAATTGTAACTTCTTCAGTTATACCACCCACTGATAGGACTATCTGAAAACGGAGCGTGCTGATCTGTATAAAATCCATGCTTTGAGAGTAGCTTTGCAGAACAAAGAGCTTGTTGAGCTTGCAGCAGTGCAGGGAGCTTAGAAACAGCTTGGAATTTCAGCCCAATGGGCTCCTGCAGGAACTGCGTGTCCCAGGCAGGCCTGGAGGCACGGTTACCACTTCTACTTCCCTTCCCTCAGAAAAGCTGTGGAAGCTGTAAGAAATCAAAGGTGTTGGAAGTGCGTTCCTACAACTTCTCCCATCTTTCTGGAAAAATTTAGCTCCTCCATTTGTATTTCTCTCAGAGCCTTCTGTTTGTTTCAACGTGACCGTTGTTGAGTGTTAACATTTCAGGTACCCCCCCACACACACACCTAAAGAAGGAAGATTTCAAATTTAATTTTTACAGCTAGGCAGAGCGAAGTGACTTTCAGAGTCATCTTTTCTCCAGCCACAGTAGATACCTAGTTGGTAGAACCTAGTGCTTTCCAGGGGCTGCACATCTGTTATTTGGCTGTGCTGCAGACCAGCTTTTCAGGGCTGTTACGACATTTTTGCTTTAGTAAAAGCCAAAACATCAGAATGGAGATAAGGATACCATTCAGCTAGAATGTGTGGCATTGAGCAGACCTTGGTCATGAAGATAAATCTTCTCTTCTGTGTTTGTCTAGGAAGATACCATGGAGGTGGAAGAGTTCTTGAAAGAAGCTGCTGTGATGAAGGAAATCAAGCACCCAAATCTAGTGCAGTTATTAGGTTAGTGAAATACCTTGATCTTTCTGTTCTTATTCAGGTTTCTGCCAAAATGTATCCATTTTGTTGAAAAAGAGTGGCAGATTTATTGACATGATTTTTTGAATCGGGTCAGGTTATGGGGTGGTATTTTTGACTGCTTTCTCCTTCACATAGCAAAGCTGAGCTGAAACGCCAGTTCTAAATGAAACATCAAATATTGTCACATGAGTGACATGACTGCTCTTGGGACACTGTGTAAAGTTAGCAGTATCAACTTCCTGTTAAACTGTGCCATTGGTTTTAGCCATTCTCCTGGATTCAGTTATCAGTGAAGTCACATTCCTCTTCTAGTCAGTTGAAGTAGCCTTACAGAAGTATATACAAAGATTCTTAATGAGACATTTTTAAGCTTTACTGGTGGTTAGCTCCATCTGGACTTTTGCTGTCTTTGGGAGCAAAGCTGTCAAGCCAAGCCTAGGATGAAAGGAGAAATGTGAGGAATGTGAAGGATGTTAATAATGTCATCTATTTTATACCCATTTCAAAAATGGACACAGATGAAGTGGTCACCCAACCCTGGCTGCTTCCAGACTAAAACAGTTTCTCATTAGAGATGCATTTTTGCTCCTGTATGTGGGTAATGGTATCAGCACGCACCCAGCAGCGCTGCAGTGAGAGCTCACAGAGATCTGACATGAGTGTCCTGTTGCCTTCCTCCTCCACTCTGACATACTTTGTGCATAACTGCAATGACTGTAGTAAGGAATAATCTGAGCAATGTGTGAGAATGCTGCTTTAGGAGCAGGTCCCACTGCTCTGATCATCCCTTACCCACTAGCATACACGGGAGTGCTTTGCATTACTCTGTCGTGACATTCCAGCCTGGAAGGTACCCACTTCCAGTTGGCCACTCTTCAGCTTTAAGAGAAGAGGGAAAGGAAAGTAAATAATGGGTGTTTAGAACATGTCCTGTTCCATTCTGTAACCCTCCAAATAACAGCATATGGTTTGTATATGTATAGTACACATCCTTTATGCATAACATATAGGAAAAGGGGACCTTTGGTAGACAGGTTTCTCATCATCCGTGGATGGATATGTAAATAGAAGCAATGAACTTTAAGCTGGGCTGCACTGATCCAGCTCTTGTAGACAAAAGGCCTGGATTTTCAGAGAAACTCTCATTGTTAGAGACTGCAAGAAATGGGAATTAAATCAGGCATACTGGTAAGCTAGGGAAGAACCAGCAGCTTTATTCACATGCCTTCTCCTCACTGCTAGGTGTGTGTACCCTGGAGCCCCCCTTTTACATCGTGACAGAGTACATGCCATATGGGAACCTGCTTGACTATTTACGGGAGTGCAACCGGGAGGAAGTGAGTGCTGTTGTGCTGCTCTACATGGCCACTCAGATATCCTCTGCCATGGAGTACCTGGAGAAGAAGAACTTCATTCACAGGTGGGTAAGATGGCATTGAGAAGCAGAAAGGGACAAATTCCGCAAAGACAGGACTGTGTTTAAACGCCCTGTGTGCTTTCTTCTTCATACAGGGACCTGGCAGCACGGAACTGCTTAGTTGGAGAAAACCACGTGGTGAAGGTGGCTGACTTTGGCTTAAGCAGGCTGATGACTGGAGATACCTACACAGCTCACGCTGGAGCCAAGTTCCCAATCAAGTGGACCGCTCCTGAGAGCCTGGCCTATAACACCTTTTCCATCAAATCAGATGTGTGGGGTAAGAAAACTCCACTTCACTGTTATGTTCTGTTTCATCCTGGTTTTTAATTTGCCACCCTGGAGAGTAAAGTGTGTTCTGGCCTGGGCAGAAAACCCATGGGAGGAACATGCCAGGTCACAGCTTCACATATTGTTAATGTCTTCAGCTAGGCTGGCCTGAAGAATCTGCAGCAAAGAGGTTCTGCCTCTAGCTGCAGCCAAGGCCAAAATGTAAGAGCAGCATACCATACGGGCAGTCTCGTGACCAGGAGTTTTATTTTCTTCCTTCTGCAGCCTTTGGGGTGCTGTTATGGGAAATTGCTACCTATGGGATGTCACCGTACCCAGGCATTGATCTCTCTCAGGTGTATGATCTGCTGGAAAAGGGCTACCGGATGGAACAACCGGAGGGATGCCCTCCAAAGGTTTATGAACTGATGAGGGCCTGTGAGTATCTTCTTCCAGTTCGGGGAACAAAGCCTGGCAGGGGTAGCAGAAATCTGTAGTCAGCTCCTAAGTCCTTACTTCCTAGATGCCATTTTGTTAGCTTAAAAAGTCCCTGTCACCTGAGACATACCTGGTCAGTGATGCAAAGTGAGTCTGGTCTCCAGGGAACAAGAACTCTCAAAAACTGTCATCGCTGATTGCAGCTAGGTAGCTTTTGTGGCAAATTGTACTGTCACTTGTAAGCAGGACTCTTAATATGGAATCACCAAAAAAGAAGGAAATTCTACTTAGCAAACACAGCACCTCTGCAGGAGACAAGCTGCTGACAGGGTCGCACAAACTCATCCTCCAAGTGTGCTGCTTAGCATCTGCCACAAAGAGCTCTCTAACACTGCATAACAAATTTTTAATCTACTAATGAAAGACAGAATAACAAATTATCTCCCACCTGTTACAGACTTACCCTGCTTTCTCACACTGCAGGTTGGAAGTGGAACCCACCAGACCGACCTTCCTTTGCTGAGACCCACCAGGCTTTTGAAACCATGTTCCACGACTCGAGCATCTCGGAGGGTGAGAGCACCTGTTGTTTTGTTTCTGAGCAGTGGTAGTGTTTATCCCCCAGAGTGCTGTCTCTTAAGCACAGGCTCTTAAAGCTTATCTGCTTGCAGTGGAGGCTGTGATGAGGCTTCGTCCTTTACTTCTTATACTTATGTCTGTAAATACATGTCTTACTCCTAGCACAAATACTGAATCAACTTTAGATGTGTCAGTGCAGAGACAGCACAGTAATTAACTTGAATACCAAGATAACAAGGAGTTTGCCTAAAGAATATTGTTTCCTTTACTAGAGGAATCCTCCCAGACCAAAGGAGTTAGGAATAGCGAGTGATGCGAGGGGAGAGAGAAAGATGCACATATGCCACATTCTGTTTCTGATTGCAGAAATTAATGTAGTGAAATACCACTCTGTCAGCTTTTACTTAAAAAGTCTGCCTCAATATCTGGATTTTCTACTTAGCTATTTTTTTAGGAGAAAATCTATGCAACTCAACTTTCAAATCTGGTCAGCTAGGAGAGGTGTGATACGAGGCAAAGGAGCACAAATTCTTTCAGCATCTCTAATTCTGAAATCAAGTATGAAAATCCACGCACTTCCCTGCTATAGAAAAATCACACCAGATGAAATTCTAGCAGGGAGGATCTGTAACAGGCACATCAAGGGACAAACAAACAATAACCTGGGGCTGTACAGGAGGGGTTTTTTGGTTAGTGCTTTTAAATCATATTCCTTGTGTTGATATTGAGGAGGAAACATGAAATCTTCATTTCTAATAGAGATGTGCAGTGTTTTGCCTCAAAGCAGCTTATGTCCAGAGTCAGAAAGAATGCGACTTTGAGGCAATTGACAAGAGGCACCTTATTTAGAAGGGAAGAAAATGCATTCATTGCAAACTTTAGCACTTGAGCAACCTTAACCCAGCAAAGAGCTAGATATGTACCAGAGCCTCACTTGTGCAGATCCTACCACCATTTTTGGATGGATTTACAAAGATGCAAGTTAGTTTGACTTCTATTTGTACAACGTGTTCTACCCTAAGCACCTCTGAATTTACAAAAAGCTAAAGTTACAAACTTCTTGCGTTCTCAATCACGTCTTCTTGCTGGTCTGGGATTGCAGTAGAGATCCATATTTTATTTTCTTCTTCTTCTGGATTTGTTCCAACTATTCCACTTCCTGTTCCTCCTTACAGAGGTAGCAGAGGAGCTTGGAAGAACAGCCTCCTCCTCATCCATTGTTCCTTACCTGCCCCGGTTGCCCATGCTTCCCTCCAAGACAAGAACACTGAAGAAACAGGCAGAGAACAAGGAGAACATTGAAGGAACACAGGATACCCTGGAGCATTCGGCATCCAGCTCCGCACCAGGTATGAGCTCCTGGGCACTCACACTGAGGCTGTGTGTTTGGTGTAGATCTGCTCCCAGTGTAAATTGTCAGACAAGCAGAAGAGAACCGAACATCCACCAAGCGGAGATCTTTCAACCAAGTACCCTGCCAGGACGGTCTGTAAAAGTTCACATTCTAGTCAAGATACGATTAACGGTGTTGGCTTCTTTCAGTTCGTAGCCTGTCTGCAGGACTTACGTTGTTACTGTGGCAGGAGAGGCAGGGCTGTGGATACTCTTCCTGTATTAGTGAGGTGGAGAGATCGGAATGATGGCAGATTTGCTCCCTGAGGGAGCTGAGGGATGAGATGACTCACGGGGAGGAGCCCTGCATGGTCTTGTTCTTCAGTCACAGAACGATGCAGAGCAGGGTGGGAGCCCGGGCCCAGTACAGGTGTCACTTCTCATTCCTGAGAAGGCAGAGGAACTACTCCTGACAACTGAGATGATGTCTGCAGGCACAATTCCTTTGGGTCAAGCAGACTTCTCCCTTCTGCTCTTGGTTTGCAGAACAAAGAACCCAAATGTTGGGACATGAAGCAGTTCTGTGGCAAATATGTATGTGGGGCTCCAGCTTTCTTCAGCCTTACATAAGCTGGAACTCAAGTTAACTCTCATCCAGCCAAAGTGTTCTAGGCTGGTGCTTTGAGCAGCAGTGTCATGAGAGCTGTTTGCCAGCCTATTTGCTAGTAACTAGTAAACACTGCAGCTTTTACAATGTCCTTTTAGTAAATTTCATAACATTTTTAAAATTTTAACTAAATTTTTAAGATAACAGCTTTCAAACAGAAATTGACAGTACAGCAAGAGATTTTCTTTTATACTTTGCAGTATCTGGGGAGGGAGAAAAGAACTACAGCAAGGGGGTAAGAAACTGAGAGAAAAGAGCAGCTTCACTTTCTCCTGACCTTCTCCTAAATTGCCTCCCGAGACAACCAACAGGTCACACACGCACAGTGTTTTTAAATCAAAAGCTCAAAAATAGAAGTGCCACCTTCCTTTCTCAGTCTTTCTCTGCAGGTCCTGTGTCACTGAAATGTTGGGCCCTTACAGCCCTCTGGAGGATAGGGAGGTGGAAATGGAAATGGATTTTGTAGATTCATTCTTGTTTCTTCCTAGGTTTAATCAGAAGCACACAGCCAACAAGTGGGTCTCCCGCACTGCCTCACAAGCAGAGGGACAAGTCACCCAGCAGCCTGCTGGAGGATGCCAAAGAGACCACTTTCACCAGGGACAGAAAAGGCGGCTTCTTCAGCTCCTTCATGAAGAAGAGGAATGCTCCCACACCTCCCAAGCGCAGTAGCTCCTTCCGGGAGATGGAGAATCAGCCCCACAAGAAATACGAGTTAACGGGTAACTTCTCATCTGTTGCTTCCTTGCAGCACGTGGATGGGTTCTCTTTTGCTCCCACACAGCAGGACGCAAACCTGGCACCACCCAAGTGCTACGGTGGGGGCTTTGTGCAGAGGACCTTCTACAATGACGATGGCACTGGTACCAGCGGCGGTGGGGGTGTGAGCACTGGTGGGGGGTGGTCTGGCATCACAGGTTTCTTTACACCGCGCCTGATTAAAAAGACGCTGGGTCTACGACCAGGAAAGCCCGCCGGCAATGAAGAAGCATCGAAGCCTTTTCCGAGGTCGAACTCTACATCTTCCATGTCCTCAGGGCTTCCAGAGCAGGATAGAATGGCAATGACCCTTCCCAGGAATTCCCAGAGGTCAAAAATCCAGCTGGAACGGACAGTGTCCACCTCCTCTCAGCCTGATGAGAACACAGGGAGGGCAAATGACCTGCTGCCCAAAAGGTTTGAAGAAGGTTCTGCTTTGACCAGAGAAAGACCAAAAGCAAAACTCTTGCCAAGGGGTGCCACAGCTCTCCCTTTCCGAACCCCATCCAGTTCAGAGGAAAAGGAGATGCCAGGGCTAGCAGCAACTCCTAAAAGCAAAGAAAAGAACAGCGGCCCTCGGCAAGGGGCCCTCGAGGATGGCGAGAGACCAGCGTGGTCCTCTCCAGTAAAGGCTGCAGCAATACTTCCAACCACTCACAACCACAAAGTGCCAGTCCTAATCTCACCCACTCTAAAACACACTCCAGCAGATGTGCAGCTCATTGGCACAGACTCTCAGGGTAATAAATTTAAGCTCTTATCTGAGCATCAGGTCACTTCTTCCGGCGACAGGGACCGGCCCAGACGGGTAAAACCAAAGTGTGCTCCACCTCCACCACCAGTGATGAGGCTCCTGCAGCAGCCAGCCGCCTGCTCGGATGCAGCAGAAGAGCTCAGCAACGCGGCGGGAGCGCAGCACGGGCTGGAGTCAGGCGAAGGGAGTAAGAAGGCAGCAGCAGCACCTGTCGGTGGGAAATCCGGGAGGCCCATGGTGCCTCCACCTCAAGTGCCTCTGTCGTCGTCTTCCACCTCCCCAGTGAAAATGGCCAATGGCACAGCTGGCGCAAAGATAGCGTTAAGAAAGACCAAACAGGCAACTGAGAAAATCCCAGCAGATAAAATCAGCAAGGAAGCATTGCTGGAGTGCGCCGATCTTCTCTCGAGTGCCATCGCTGAGCCAACACCAAACAGCCAGCTGGTGGACACAGGGCATCAGCTGTTGGATTACTGCTCAGGCTACGTGGACTGCATTCCGCATACACGCAACAAATTTGCCTTCCGGGAAGCCGTGAGCAAACTGGAACTCAGCCTGCAGGAACTGCAGGTGTCCTCAACAGCTGCTAGCATCCCTGGGGCAAACCCCGTCCTTAATAACTTATTGTCGTGCGTCCAAGAAATCAGCGATGTGGTGCAAAGGTAGCTACTGTCAATCTGGGTAAGAGAAATACACGTGGGGTGGGGGGGACTCTTTTCTGTACTGATGCTTTCAAAAGGAAAGACTGATACTTGAGTATGTGAAGTACCTCAGATCACTGAGTTCTCACGTTTACAAGTTCATCTCAGAAAATGGGGATGGAGAGGGTAGATTCAAGCTGTAAGGGGCAGAACATCAAGTATTTGTCCCTACCTTGCCGGTCTGATCTGCTCGGTTTGGCAAGGCAAGGAAGATCCTTGCTCCTCCCTTTGACAGGCAGGAGAATCGATGGCAGGTTCTCGCTCTGGGAAGGACGGTCTGGCAGCCAGAGTACTGGAGTGGCTGCCGGCCCCTTGGCTGTACAGACGCACCCCATCAGCACTAACACACGCTTTTGGGCTCCTGACAAGGCGAGGAAGGGCCCCGGGGCTCTGCTGGTACCAGCTGCTGAGCAGTCCTGGCTGGGCAGCTCTGAAGGAGCAGGCTGTGTGCAGCTGGGGGCAGGTCTAATGCACTGACAGTATTCAGAGCTGCTGGAGGTGGATGCACTAGCCTCAGTGGCTTACTTCCACAGTGCTGTTGCTGCTGTAATGAGAACTGCAAAGTTAGTTAATATATGAAATTATCCCTTTTCCCTCCTGTCCACCTCATCTTCCACATGTTCTCGTCTTCATTGTAGCTGAGGCATCAGGAATGCTGGGCAGACTTACCACTGGAATTACCCCCTTCCCACCATACTGCCTTCACACAGTTGATTCCTATTTCTAGTGGTCTAGCATGAGTGCTGCTTGATGGTCATTGGTTGTTGTGAGTAGTTTGGGGCTCTTACACAACTTGCCAGTGTTAATGGGATGGGGTGGGGTGTTTTTTGTTTTTTTTTTAAAGCTCTAGGCTGTTTCTAACTCCTGTTACCAGGTTGACTCCCCAGTTCAGTTTCAGCACCTTGAGGTCCAGGGGAGGCAAGGCAGAACCTCTGCCACCAGCAGCCCCTGGCTGCAATCAGCAGGCAGTGCTGGAAGCCAGGAGAACAGCCTGGCCTGCCTGCAGGTCTCCCCGCACCGCTCCCTCCTCCGGACACAGCACAACCACATCACAGCGCTTTCTGGGATTCGTTGCTTACCAATCTTGCAGGCTTCCACTATCTGGGAGCGTGGAGGTGACTAGGTATGTCAACACATGAGTCACAGCCACCTTTTTTTAGTTTACGTATTTTGACAACTGGACCAGAATCTTCTGCTGTGTAAACTGCATTCTGCCCGAAACGTGACAGAAGCGTTAGGGCTTCTTGGAGAGCTCCCACTATGGTATGGTCTCTGCTGGTCTACTGACAATCCCAGAAGGCAGGCAGTCATGTGGCTGGTCTCCTTCCGTCCTGGTGCTGTTGGTTGACTGTTGCGGCCTCAGCAAGCTGGTGTTCTGTGCATGTGCACAGCTCCCTGAGAGTTAAAGGACTGGCAAGTACAGAGACCTCAACTACTTGTTGGTTAGAGAGAAGAAGCAAACAGGCCTGATACCTGCATCCAAATACCCGTTACCCTGCATGCTGCTGCTCACTTCACACTGTTTGTGATGACAGAGGATCTGGCTTGCTTTGCACCTTAAATCTTTTTTTTTTTTTTTTTTCTAAAATGCTTTTTTAACTTGTTTTTAAAGCGTGACTGTGCTGCTTTTAGGTTGAGCATTTAGAGTTGAGCTGGAGCACAGGTGTGAATTCAGATGGTTGGCACTCAGGCATTCCTTGTCTGCCTCCAAGCATTGCGCTGTTGGTGCTCAGAAGCAGGCTGGACCTCTTGGCTCATGCCACTGTTGTTTCCATGGAGCACGGTGAGGTGTGGCCTGAACCATTCTTAGTAATGTGCCCGTGTCTGAGAATCCTCATATTATTGACTAGTCTGTGGTAGATAAAGTTGTGTGTCACGCTGCATGAATGTGCACCAGTGGAGCAGTATGCGAGGAGAAATGGACCACGTGTGCTTCACTGTCAAAGTGGGTGAGATAATGAGAAAAACCAAACAATCCTTCCACCCCATTCAGTAGGTGTTAAGGTGAATGAATCGTTCCTACAAGTCGGCAAGCTGATCCCTTTGTGGGTTAGTCATCCTTACCTCGTGGCACCAAGCCCACCTGGAAGAGCCTGCTGTCTCATTCTGCGAGATTTCCAGCTGATGTCCTGGATCTACTCTGGGTCTTGCACTTCAGCTGCAGGCCCCTGGGGCAGTTATTCAGCAGGGAGGCAGAGCACCTAACAGTTATCTTGTAGACTTTACCGAGGGCTTTTGTGGTTTACCTTATCTGCTTCAGTCATCTTTATTGAACGTGTGCATCACTGCACACCAAATTAGCTGCCTTTGGAAAGCTGACCCGTAAAGGGAAAAAATCTCAAGGCGTTGCTTCATGTTGCCTTCTTAACAATCAGGAGGAGTGCAAGGGTATGAGAGCTTTCTTGGTGTCAGAAAGGCTGGTCCTGTTTGCCCTGCAGACAATCGTGTGGTTTCATCACTGTACTGCTTTTCAGCCCAGTAAAAGCCGACTGGAACTGAAGTGGTTATTCTCAGGGGAAAGGTATTTTAACCAGAACGTTTTAAAAGTGTTATTCCAGTTCTGATGAGTATTTTAAAAGAAGCTTTTTAAAATTTATTTTTTCCTGAATGTAGGTCTTCCAGAAAAGCTCCTGCAAAAGTGATAGAATAGCAAACAATTCCTGGAATTTTTAATTAATAGAACACACCCCTTTCCAATCTTTCATACCCTGCTTAAGAAACAAACTGTGCCCCTGCAAAGGGCTGGCTACCCTCCCCATGTCTGCTTTCTTTGAGTGCCACCTGCTTTTCCTCCCCCCCAGAGGTAGCTGGCAGGGACACAGCTGTGGGCAGTTAGAAGAAGCAGAATTCACCTGCTCTCCCAGGATCACAAACGGTTGAGGCAGCTTCTCTCCCACCACTACTACAGGTCCTTTCCCTCTGCTAGATTTGCCTTTCTGTTCAGCCTTAAAGGTCTCAACCGTAGCAGCTTCTCTGCTTTCAGCTTTGCACACAGTCTGTGTCAAGTACTGTACGGATGGCAAAGCCCCGTTACTTCTTCCAGTGAAGAGCATCTCTTGCTCCAGCCTTTGTGGATAAGACAACCTCCTCTTGTGTTTCCTTTCTTCACTGCTGTGAGAAGGCCTCGTGTGGTAAAGATGCAAATGCAGCTGGGCTCTCCAACTTGCACTATACTATGGCCTAGAATTGAAGGCAGTCATCTTTGCAGCAGGGGTGGCAAACTGTAGGGACCTGGTGATGGCAAGCTCAGAGCCCAGAGCGAGGCAGTGGGGGGAATTTCTCTCCCTAGCTCCCAGGGGAGCAGCCGACCCGCAGGTGCAGCTTTCTGCACTGTATGCCCTTCTTAACCCTGGGCACAGTGCACTTGGCTGGCTGGGTTGGCAGCACACTACTGGCTGGCTGTTCTTCTCACCAGTGCTGGCAGGACTGAATTAAAAGCTTTGGTTTTAGGACTGCATCAAACAGCTGGGAGAGCAGAGCTAAACAGAGCAGCACTCCTGATGCAGAACACGGGGCCGTTCTCTCTGTTCCTTATCCTCACAGAAGAGGCTTCTCCTGAGCACCACTGGCCCAGTGTCAGCAGGGAGCAGCTGGTATAAGTGGCCTGTGGGCCCTGGGGTACTCTCAGGCCCGGAGCTTAGAACAAACCCTCAGCCTGCTCCCTGGTGGGAGGAAGTGACAGCTTCTGGGACGTATCTGCAGTACCTGCAGAGTGAGATATACCCGTACCAAAGGAGGTCATCTTCCCAGCATGGCTGCTGTGCACGAGGGTGTAGAGCCTGCTCAGCATGGCATGCTGTGGGCATCAGTACTGAACTCACAGAGGGCAGGAATGGATTAAAATCAAACACATTAATCACCAATCACTCTACAGTGTTGTCAACTGTTTTGTTTTTAATTGTTATTGTAATATATTTTGGTTGTTTTTCTAATTTAATTCTCTCACTATCGTCTGACTGTGAACTGCGAACAGTGTTAAACTTGATGTAAATAAGGCCCTCAGAAGGGCCTCTTTGCCTGTCGTTCCACAAAGTTTTGCCAATTTGCATTTTGTTTTAAATAAAGGTTGCAATATTTTATTGGCAAAAAAAAAACACCTCGCCTAGACATTGCTTTATTTCTCTAAAGCATGTTTTAACCTGCACTGTACTGTACTCAAAGCCAGTTAACTCAAAAAACCAAAACTTTGCTGACCTCACGCTGGCTTACACAAGTGACCAAGCAGATCAGCTGGTTGTAAAGCAGAGCCTGAACTGTGCTGTTCTGCAGGGCTGCATCCTCACTGAAGAGCTGCTTTCCCTCAGGCACCTCTGCTGTTCCCAGGACTGATGTGTGTGATGAAATGACCACCCACCAACCAACTCTGAGCAATGCCTGATAAAAGTAGACCTAGCACTTAGGTCCAGCCTCAAGTCAGCAGCCAGGCTGAAGCTAACTTTGTACAGAGAGAAGGAAGACGAGCAGCTCCCTGGCTCACTGCTCCCTGCCTTAGACCACACAGCCTCATTAGATCGGCGACCTCATAGGCTGCAGAGCAGTGCTCAGCCTGTCCCTGGAGTTGTGCTGCTCATCACTGGCACTGCTGAGAGGTTCCAAGCTTAAAATAGATCAAAGGTCCGCACATGAGGCAGCTGAGCCGTCCTTGGCAGCTGCTGATTCACCTCACCGTGCAGCAGCTGTGTTGGAAGGGAGTTTTGACCTCGAGGTCACAAAGTGATTCTTCTATCACTGCTGAAATATTTTGGTCCATTCTTATCACCTGGCAAGTACCCAGATAGCAAACAGCCCCTTGGTGTAGTAATGCTGATACCAGCCAAAACCCCACAGCATGCAACATACTGGCGGGGGGGAAACTATCTTATTCCAGCTCTGAAAACCAGAATTCAACTGCAACCTGTTCTTTCACCCACTGTCCTCCTCATCTGCCCTTTGCCCGTGTCTGTCTCTCCCCAAACCAGTTCCTGCAATGCAGCAAACATGCTCTTCACCAAACGGCTCAGGGAAATGATTCCAGCAGGAGCTCACTTCATCCCACAGCTGCTTCCATGGAACAAAGACCAAGAGAGGGGAGAGAAGGTCACTCCAAAGGAAAAGGCTGTAGGTTTAAAATCTCCAGTGGAGATGAAGCAGTCATTTTCTGTATGTGACTGAGGAAGCTGTGGACAGGGATGAGGCCGTGGCTTGTGCTGGATCAGTCTGGCCTGGGCCTTTGCTTACTGGCAACAAACTGGCAATATCCCACTCACATGAGACTAAGCATCTATCAGCACAACCGAACCACTGCTTCAGGGTAGGAGGGAGTGAGAAACACCACGTGGACTTAAAAACCCAGCCGAGCTCAGCCTGCTGGCACCCCAGCTGCACTTCCTTCCCTGTGAGCAGCCCTCAGAGAAATATGGAGTTCAATTCCTGCCCCTGTGCAGGTGTGATCTGCTTGCCTGACCTTGTGCAAGAAGAGAAGCTCCTGGTGTACGGAATCAGCTTCACCAGGGATGTAGTCCCACCTGGTGTTCAAGGAAGGAAGTAATTAATGCGCTGTGATACAGATTTACAGCCTTGTGCAGAGAAAAGCTTCTCCTCTTTGGGGACAAACACCATCGTCCTGGCAACCTCATCAAGGGCTGCCTCTGTGTAGGGAAGTCCACGGGCCAGGAACGCATCCCGTGCGCAGAGCTTCACGTGGTGGTACTCCAGAGGTAGGAATGGCACAAAGAAATCAACCAGGTTCTCTTCAAGGAGATGGCTGCGGGCATAACCGTTCTCTGCAGCAAAAAGCAAGACAAAGCAAACTTCAGCCACCCGAGAGCTGGCAGCTCTGGGGCTGAAAGGGAGCAAGATTGGCTCAGCTCCTCTTCCGATGTGCCTTGCTGCCATGCTCACTAGGCTGAGCTATGTGGAAGAAGGGAAGGGTACATCAACACTCTTCCAGATGTTCCTGCAGCACAAAGCTCATAAAAAAGCCCCAGCCTGGTGCTCAGGGGCAGGTTTGCAACCGGGTAGGCTGCCTGCTACAGCAGCCCGGCTCCTACCTGCAAGCTGCAGCATCTCCAGCTGCAGCTGTTGCTCCAGGAGCTCCACGGGAATCTCCTCTCGTGCCCGTCCAGCTCTCCAGAAGTCCAGGGTGACCTCATTGATGGCACTGCCACCAATATTGCTGCAGACAGAAGAGAAGTCACTCCACCATGCTGCCAGGCTCAAATTGCTCAGAGCTGCCAGCAGCCTCCTCTATAGGCAGAGCTCAGCAGTTCTGCTTACAACAAAGCAACCACTGTGCCCAGTCAGCACCTGAAACATTCGCCCAGATGAATGGTGTTCTGAAGGAATCTGTACAGCATCTTCCATCTTGCCAACCCAGGCCTGGGGCAGCTGCTTGCTTTTCCACATGGGGCCAGGAGCCAATGGAAACTCTGTTTCTGTCAGTACCCTGCCCTGTCTGGGAAGCCACTGACCCTTCAGGTGACACTTGGCTCCAAGCAAACCCTCAGTAAGCCACTGCCAAGTCCAGGCCAGAGGACAGAGAACATGGCAGGAGTTCCATGAGAAGAAAAGGGCCAGGACAGGGACCTTGCCTGGTGGGGGATGCAGGGTCCAGGCAGCCACCAAGGCTCCCAGGACAGCCCCCATACCTCAGAAGGCAGCCCCTGGTCTCAGCGCCCTCCCACCAGGGAGCTGGTGATGCTGGGAACCAGCTGTGGTTACCCAGAGATGGGGAGGAAGCCTTGTCCTTGGAGACACCCAAGGTCAGGATGGATGAGGCTCTGAGCACCTGACTGACCTGTAGGCATATCTGTTCACTGCAAGGGAGTTGGGCCAGATGACCTTTAAAGGTCCCTTCCAACTCTAATGATTTTGTAATTCTATGTGAGGGACTTGGGTCTCATACCTATCTTTCCTTGTGTGTCAGAGACATTCCACAGATAGTGGGAAGGTAAAATGAAGAAGCCATCACCACCTCCCTTTGCCACCTTGCCAGCACAGCTCATACCCATCCTAATCCCTTTGGCTGAGCAGTGGCCATTTGCTCAAGCCCAGACACAGCTGCAAATCCAGGCCACCTCCAGACAAGGCTGGGCCAGAGCCAGCCCTTCAACAACAGGTCTGTGTCACACTGCCACCAGACATGATGAAACCCCCCCAAGACTGATTGCACACCGCAGCAGTTCATGACGCCCTGCTCTCTCTGCTTGATGACACAAAGGGGCTGACGTGGGCATAGGGCTGTGCAGCATGCCAGGTAGGTGGACCAAGGCACCACCGCACAACTGGCAGCACGCCTACTCTGCCCAGAGTGGACAGGACACATCAGGTCAGCCCTGTAAGCACCAGGTCCAGTCAGGTCTTCTACGAGCAGAGAAGCTTCCCTAGGGAACCACTGAGCTTGGAGGTACAACTTCCCTTTCAGACAGAGGAGGGAACTGAATACAGTTTCCCCACGTACCAGGCCAGGCAAGTGGGACCTCTCCACATGGCACAGCCACATCCCGTAAGGACCTGCAGTCCTGGCCGTGCTCCCTGCAGTGCAGGATCTCCCTGCTCGGTCATACAAGGTGCAGGATGACACCACACTATCTCTGAACATCACTGGTGCCCAGGCACCAGCTCAGCTAGGCCGCAGCTCCTCAGCAGCAACAAGGAAAGCTGGCCATGGAGGCAACCACCCTTGGAAGAGCTGGGCATCTCTTCCCTCACCTCTGCGTTCCAAGTCCCTTATATCACACTTTCAGGAGCTTTGTGCCTCCCCACCTCTTTGGAAGTTACCTGAGGAAGAGGAAGATAGATCTCCGGTTATCTTGCTGGCCCTTGTCAGAGCGAGCCATGAAGGGCTTGATGACTTCCAGGAGGCCAAAATGAAGCTTCTCTGCCTCATCAAAGATGAACAGTGACTGCTTGCAGAGCTGCACAGTCTCACTTATCTGCTTCTCCAGCTGAACCTGCAGAACAGCGGGCAGGAGTGAGGTGCCAACAACAGGAGACAGCATAGAGACTGGGCCTACCCCAGACTCCCTCCCCTCAGCTTTTGCTGCTGAGCATAATGGTATACGGGACATCCCTTTGGTGAGCTGTCCCTTTTGTACCCTTTCCCAGTTTCTTGTGCACCCCCAACCTACTAGCTGAGGGGCAGAGCTGGAAAAACAGAAAACCTTGAAGCAGTGCCCACACTCAGATCAGTAATAGCTAGAACAGCAGTGTTACTAGCTCTGCTTCACCCACAGACCTAAAACACAACACAGTGCAGCTGGTACGAAAAAAAAAGAAAAAAGCAACTCCATTCCAGCTAGACCCAGTAGACCAAGACACCACCAGCTCTCACCTTGTAGGAGTCCACGTACTTGTGGTGGGGGAAGTGGAAGAGCGCAATGAACACCCTGACACATTCACTCTTCAGCCCGTCTCTGTACAGGTGAGCAGCCACCATGCGGGCCACAAAGTTCTTGCCTGTGCCAGACCAGCCATGGAAGGAGAGGACCAGAGCCTTCTGAGGCTGTGGGCTCTGCAGGAACCCTCGCACCGCCCGTATGACAATTTCTTTGGCCAAGTGCTGCCCGTGGAGATGCTCATGGAGGTCCAGTTCGAGCCCTGAAGGAAATACAGCAAAAGCTCAGCCTTTACCTAGAAACCCAGTTGCTGCTGCTGGGAATAAGAGAAGACATTGCACAGCAGCAAGCCCACACAGCCCTGCTGATGGGACTCATATCCAAGAGGAGCATTGAGCTGACATTAGTGGTGCAGGGTTAACATGGCAGGATGCACGCAAACCCTGTGCCCTGCTCATATCTGCCACTGACTGCAAAAAGACACAGATCTTCTGCTGACTCCTTTTTTCCTTTGGAAATTGGAGAAAGCATCTGATGACTACACAGAGCTCTGAAGCCCCAGTCCTTTCTGTAGCATTTCCTGTACACCATGTCCCTGTACCCCAGCAGCCTGTACAGAGAGCAGAAGTTTCAGGGATAGCAAATGAGTGACACCTGCATGGGGCTTGCACACAGGTCCTGGGACTTTCCTGTCCCGAGGCCAGACAGATCCCTGTGCACATGGAATGCCAGATGAAGGCAGGGCTGGTGCAAACCACAGCACTGCAAAGAGCATGCTTTCTTGCAGTCCAAGGACTGCAAATGAGTGACAAGAAGCAGGACTTGGCTCAGTCCCTCCTCCCCTCAGAAATGCCTTTTACATGCATCACTTGCTAAAATGGGCTTTTTAAAATGACAACAACAAAGGAAACAGCAGCACCCACCCGTGATGTTGTTGATGATCTGGCAGTCTCCTGTCTTGCAGCACTTGCCAAAACTGCAGTACCAAGCAGAGAGGATCTCCAGGTAATCCTGGCCCACCAGAGGCAAGCTCCAGCCTGCAAATGTCAGAGCAGAGATAAGCCTCATTCTCGCACTGTGCACAGGCACCCAGGTGTTCCCAAGTTAACTGCCACCCTGCCGAGGTGCAAGGAAGCAGATGGGGAGAATGATAACGAGCTGCAGCTGGCTCCATGGCAGACAGGTGCACCGGAGACAGAGCCTGGGTGAGCATGAGCAGACTTCCCTCCCCAGCACAACGCACGCTGAGCAATGGGGAGTCCCTTCCCACAGAGCTCGTGGGTGCTGGGGGTGCAGACCCCACCACTGCTCCCCAGGCACAAGAGAATTAGGAGCTTACCTGGGCCGGGGCTGGTTCTTTCCTCCTTCCCGCAGCCCTCCTGCCACACCTTGCAAGCCAGGTACTGCCAGTACTGCTTGGAGAGAGCTCCCACGGTTCCCAGCTGCTTCTTCACCGCCTCATACCTCGCTCTGCCCCACGGTGCCGCCTCCGTCACAGCGCTCTGGCGCTCCTCCAGCAGCCCCCGCTGCTTCCCACTGCTCCCCAGCCCCCCGTTGTCCCCCAGCAGCAGCAGCAGCAAGCAGGTCGGCCCCAGGCAAGACAGCAGCGTGCCCCGGCCCATAGCCGCGCGGACCTCTCGCGCGGCCGGGCTGGGTGCCCGAGGGCTCCCGTCCTGCCTTCGGAGCGCCGGAGCTGTGAGCTCACTTCCTGCAGCCGTGAAATACGCGGGCCGAGGACACGACCAGCTGAGCCCAAGCGGGACGACCTGCCCCGCTGGGCCGGGCACGGCTCCTCCTCCAGCAGCACGCAGCGAAACCCGGCCCTGCGGATGGCCGCTGTGCGCACGGCTGCAGGGACGCCGCGGGGAAGGGCGCCCAGAGCCGGGCAGCACCGCGCAGCTGCCGCTGAGCGCTCACACGGGCCGGTTTTGTTTGCGGGGATTGGATTTTCCCTGCGGCGTGCGCGGGTGCGAGTTTAGCAGGAAAACGTGGCTGTAGATGAAACACGCAACTCCAAATGCTCATGTGATGCCAGAGACACGAGGTGGGGCTTCGGGAAGCGCCCTGCCCGCCTCCGGGCTCGCCGTTCCCAGCACTCAGCTGGCCGCGTTGCTCAGCGGCGGCATTTCCAAGGGGCACAAAAATGACGAGGGGACACGAAAGGACTCAGAACAGCTGCGAGGTGCTCCTGGGGACATCTCCTGGGGTTCAGCCTGCAGATCGAGGCTCTGGGAGGAAGGACTTTGGTCGCTGGCTCTGGGATGGGTTTGCTGTGCGTGTATCTATACTAAGGTTCCACTTAGTAATTCTTCCATCAGTGCATCTTTGCACACCAGTGCATGCAAACGGCAGCAGCTGGGGTGGGTTCCACGCGAGCAGCAGGGAACGAAGTTCAGATCAGCACACAACCACCACGAAATCACATCAGAGAACAGCAGTACAACCCATTACCACCACCGACCAGTTTTCTGCAGCGAGCTGCAAAAGCAATGAGCTGCACAGGGCAGCTGTGGGCTGCCAGGCCTTAGGGCTGGCTGCTCTCACTAAAGCAGGAGACTCTGGGACCCCGAGCAAAGCCTGCGTTTGGTTTTGGGAGGACATAATAGAGGAAGGGCACACTTCTGACCTCTAAAAGAGGAGCAGTCAGTGCTGTCATGCCATGTGCACAAACTCAGCTGTGCAGGGGAGATGAGAAGTGGATAAGCCACCTGTAACTTGCATTCTACCCCCATGCTGGACCCACTGCTGGTTTACTGTAAAGAACTAACAACTACATGAGTTGGTGAGCATCAGGACACCCACAACTTATCCTAACCAAGACAAGGCCGAGACGTGCTGCTTCTGATATGGACGAATGTCAAGTTCATCTTGAATGCTCAGGAAAATGAAGTGGATCCTGAAATGCAATTCACTCATCCAGGTGATGGGGAGCAGGATTCCAGCGCCAGCACGGCGTGGCATGGAGCACATCTCCATCTACAGGTGGTTATAAATACTGCAAATCTGCATCAGAAGGATTCCATGTTGATTAATGTAATTGCTCCAGCTTAAAAAATTATTTGTGAGGTTAAAACCTTAACACTAGATGCTGTAACTAAAACAGAACTAACATCAGTGCACATTAAAAAAAATAAGCAAAATTAAAAGCACTGTAGCCACAGTGCCATCAGCTAAGGAGAGCCTATCAGAAGAGACAGGCTTCCAAGAGAAATAGATGCTCCCATGTTCCCAAAAAAGGGTTTGAAAAATAGAATAGGAAAGCTATGTCCCACAGCAACACCAGCCCCACAGTGCTACAGCACAGCTCCTGGTGTGTCACCTTCACTTAAGCGTGGCACACTGCAAGAGCTAGAGGGGAAAAGAGTCGCTGTTCAGTAATCTACCAAATACACGCACTCTGTCTGACCAGGCTCTGAGGTTCAAAAGGCACTGAAGCAAAATAAGATGAAGTAACATGAGGAAAAGAAACAAAGCAAAAATCCACCCTTCCTGAATAATTCAGTTCCCTCTGCAGGGCCTCAGGCAGGAAGCGATGCCCAAGGACTAGATGGGAGTGTGCAGAAGGCTGGACAAATGGCTCATAGCTGGACAAATGGCTCATACCTGGCCTGGGAAGCACAGCACTCAGTGCCCCAGTGCAGCTGGCTGGGACTTCATTGCTTTTTTCCTCCCTCTGCTGAGTCTTGGGGGTTTGCTGTAGCAGCCTCCAGCTGCTCTCACAGCAGGAAGACAGCTGCTGGGGTTTGCCCACTCCCAGCATAACACTGGGGTGTGTGACTTCACCTCGCTGTTATTCCACAGCAGTCCTCGTGAGCGACATCCATCTGATTAAAAATCCATGATGTCGAGTCAAGCTGGGCCTTACACTGCAGAACATGTAAAGAGAATGGAAGAACAGCACTGCAAAACAAGTAGTTACATCTGCCTTATTCAGCACTCCTGGCAACTCGGTGCAAGCACTCAGAGGAAAGCTTGCCATCAGGATTTTATCCTACAGCTGTATCTGCTGGATGGGGAAATGCTGAGCATCCATCCTTCTGTGGTTTGAATCAGTAAGTAAAAGGAAGATCTCGAGTAAAGGAGATCCCTGTCCCCCTTAATCTGTTTGTTCCTACAAAGTCCTGTCCCCAGCCTCCTAAAAATATTGACACTACAAAGGAGAAACAGCAAACTACCACACATGGGATACGTGAAGAATGAACCTTTTTTCCCCCATTTCTACATTTTAGAAATGTGCAGGGAAAGAACTTGAAAAGTGCTAGTTTTCAAAACCATTTTCTGGCTCAAAGTTTTCTTTGTGTATTCTTCTGCAAAACTGTGCTCATTATATAGTCAGAAACACTTTAAAACCTTCCACCACCGCTAAGCCCAACCGCACCACAGCAATACGGGAGTAGTACAACAATGCTGTCATAAAAACTCTCAAGACGAACTATTTCAGCCTTTCAAAACTTAAAAGCATCTGCAATGTTTACCAGTTATTGACCTGCTTGTATACAAAGAACTGTGTCCCATTCGTGGCACATGTCCCATTCTGACATGTCACAGATAGAAATAGGAGATATGAAAAACTGTCACCACGCAATGCTGGGAGCTATGAAAACCCCAGGACTGCTCCCAGCAACAACAACGAAATCCAAACCAGTTCTAACAGAAATCAGCAATGCTGAATTCCAAGCTTTCAACTGAGAAAATGCAATTCAAGAAAAAGTAGGAGCTTCTGGTGGCTTAGCATGGCAATGCTGCTGATGCTCCAGGGCAGGTCAGAGACCAGTGCTGCATTTCCACACGCACAGTGCTTTGGCCATCTCAGGGCACTCCTGTGCCCAAAGCCACGGGCCAGCACAGTTCATGCAGATGTCACAAATACACAGCAGCTCCCAGAGGTTTCCTTTGCTTCCAGATGCCCGACACTGAGAGCTGTGAGCATCCCCTCCTACTTCTGAAATGCTCACAACTGTTTTATTGTTACAAAAACAAGCTCTGAACCAGCTAGGTCAGTCCCTGTGCTCTGTGGGAACAGATCTTTGATAGCTGTTTATTTGCCCCGTCTCATAACAGGGCTTCAATAAGAGCTCAGGGAAGCCAACCACAAACGCATGCCAATTCCATATGCATCTGTTGCCAAATGAATACACACTCCTTGCTCTGTACAACAAATCCAGCCTAGTGGGACACAACCAAGACATCAGCCTGGATGCTTGGCACAAGCAGGGCTCTGGAACACGTTTTCTAAAGCTAAAAAAACAATACCCATTTTCTTCCCAAAGACCAGTTAAGCCTAGGTATGTTTTGTTTAGCATCGCTTTGGAACACTCTTCTTAAGCACAACCTTCCCTCACCAGCTCTTCCAACCAAGCTGCACATATGGCCCCACTCTTGAAAATACATTTCTGGAATAAACGCCACTGATAAATATCAGTGAAGGAATAACCATGAAACACCAGCAGCAAAACAATTCAAACATTCAACTCAGTACATGCTGGAATGAGGGGAGGGGAGCGGGCTGGGAGAGAGACTTAAACAATCCATCAGCGCTGCTTTATTAAAATCTTTATTCACACAATGTTCCTTTATGCAGAACCCGCCCCTTGGGGATACAAGTAGAAAGTTGTGATTGCACTCTGTTTTCTCATTAGCAACCTCCATTTGTGCAGCTGTTCCCAAGGGCAATCCTCTGACAGCTCCAACAGGGGTGTCTGTTTCAAGCATCTTGCTCCAGCTGCCACAGCAAATAAATTACCTTCTTAATAAATTATTATTTTTCAGTTGAAGTTTGTTTGGCAAGACACACTCCAGTTCACTAGCTGTTGGAAGAGGAGCCAGTCTCAGGGGCTCCTCCAGCCCAAGTGCTGACTTAGGAAGGAGGAGACAGAGCATCATCAGCCATCTGCTGTTTCTTTTTAATTAGTTCTTGGTTTCTGTGCTTCAAGCGCTCTGCCACCACTACCATCCACGGCACAACCGTTTGGTGACATCTGCAGCCAGGAATTACAGTGTGCAAAGTGAACAAGAATTAGAACGCCACAAACCCTCATCGCCTTAAGAATGTAGCACCTGCCCCACAGGTGGCACTACTGCCAGAGATTCAAGCAGATCCTGGTTTGCACGTGGATGCTGCTGCTTATTTCCTTTGCAATGGTTACCATTGAGTTTAACATTTCTCAGGGATCCGCATTCAAACAAATCAATAATTGCTGCCAGAACACCAGAGATTCTCACAATGCCAAAACTGGATCTTCCTGATTTTGGGTAAGAGAGGAATTGATTCTTCCTCCCTGCTGCAGAACACCAAGCTCCAGCAGTGCTTACAGTGACCAGAAGCATCAATATGACACAAATACAAAAAGAGAAAAAGAAAGCACCTATCTCCTGCTTACTTCTAAATCACGATGCTTGATTTCATGCCCTTTGCTTACAACTAAACCAATACAGTGCTTTAAATCTTTGATATATATACTGATGGAAAACTTATCTCCAAGAGCGATCTGACTGCAAAAGCTTTGGTGTAGAAGCCCATGACATACAAAGCATAAAGCACTGAACATTAATTTCATTTCATAAAGACAGAGATGCTTTTTTTCAAATCTGTTGTTAAAGTCTGTTGTAAATGACTTAAGAGTGGTCAAATCAGAACTTCGAATTTCTGCAGATCCATCCCAAAACATTAAGTGCTCAAAAAAAAGGAAGAGTAAAAAATAAACACAATGTGCTTTATAGTCTCCCCTTTTGTGTAAATCATCTTGAACTTTTTGGGAAACAGCCTTATGTCCAAATGCCTCGGTGGACGCCTCTCCTGCTTCAGAATGAGAGCATTCCCCAGCTACCTGCTGCCCACAGTACCTCCAGCAATGTCAGCCCCAACTGCTCACACCTGCCCACAGGGCAACGCAGGCAGTGACAGACAGGTCAGCCCTTGGCAGCTCCTACCCCTGCTCAAACCCAGCTACCAGCCCCTGGCTCTGTGCAAAGGGGACACACAAGGCACTGCCCACACTGCCTACATGCACAAAGGACCGTGGCTTGCAGTGCATGTGTTACATTATCCTGTACAGCAAGAAATGGGCACCAGTTTAACACCAGCGTCCAAAAACTGGTCGTGTGTCAGCCTTAACTAGCACCACTAAGAAGTAATTCTAGCCCAAACCTGAGTCTGTGTCGCAGCCAAGTCTGAAAGATGTCTACAAAAACATAAAAGCCAATTTCCGGAAAACAGTCGCATTCTGCTTCTGAGATACTCTGCTTAGGCAGTACAAAGACCTCAAACTAAATTCCTTTTAAAAATAAACTCTTTCACTAACACCTCTTTGATCAGGTATGGCAGCAGGTGCAAGCAACAGGAAGCAGCTCCTCATTTTATCTGCCTGTCACCCTGCTGCAGAGCTAGAAAGATGTTGACAGACAAATCAAGAAAAAGATCTTGAGCTGACATTTTGCTGCTCTGGCTCATAAATCCAATAATCTGTAATCACTTTGGGAAGTGATCTGTTTCCTTACTTTTAAGTTCCATACTGTCTGAACTGAAAATTGACGTGAAGCTGGTAAATTTGGAAGTACAATGGAAGCCGTTTCCCTTCTGGAGGCAGATTGAGTCCCTACCACAAGTGTGGCAAGTTTCAAGGGGCACAAGCTCATCTGCAGTACAGACTGGCACACAGTGCTGAGGGATGACAGGACTAGCACAGAGGAGTGCTGCTCGTCCGCTCTGCAAAGCCAACAGGCACGGCCGGTTCCTCACCTTACAGCAAAACCATCAGGAACAAGGACTCCAGGATGGCCGCCCCCCTGTCAGCACAGCACAGCGTGGGTTGCAGGAAGCAGCTGGGCAAGGCAGAATTCTTACTGCAAGTAAGAAAGTAAGCTCACAGCTTCAGAGCTCAGCCACAAGACAGTCCAGGCAGAAGGTGGGCCTGAAAAACTGCTGGTGCTCCACAGAACAGCAGCACTGAGCCGTGCTTACAGCAGCAAGAAGCTCTCTCCATATGAGATTAGCTCAGGGTTCTCTCCACCCTTCAGGGCCCTTCCCATGGCTGTAGGTTACTGGGAAGTCCATCAATATACCTCTTTTTCAGCAGCACGGCACGTCCAGATTCTCCAAATTAAACAGGGCATGCAGTAAGCAGCACGACTTCGCTAAATGGAATCTGCTTCCAAGGACAGACCCTGTCCTCCTCCTCCTCAGCTACAATATAATAAACATTTGGTTAATATTGACATAAGAGTGGAGGGGTGTTTCCCCAACTCAGACCTTGCCAGGTTCCTTACAAATGGGAAACAGCGAAGGACACGTGGGAACATATTTTAACTCCTTAACTGTCAAGTGCTTATAACCACCCTGTCCTCCTCTAAGTCTTCAACCCTGTGCATAAATCTTTGATAGGACTTCAGCGATAAAACTGAAACGTTATCACAAAAGGCAACTCCCTTCCCCAGTTTTTATTGAGGGCAATTGAGGTGAGAGGTCACCACTCCCACCCTAATGGCATTCCGAAGAGCCTCCCACCCCCTGAGGGGGGCAACTATTCAGTCTAAGCGTTATTTTGTTCACCAGTTCCTCATTTTCTAAAGAAGCAGTAATATACCTAACCAGCTCACAGCTGATCATGTGCAACCCTGAATCAAACAAAACTCGCAAGAGCGTACGTGGGGAAGAGAAGGGAGGAGGATCAGACTGTTCATCTCCATTTGTCCCCTAAAATCAGTCCACACATTAGTGTCTGTATTCCATACACTTGCACCAACACCGAGAGCCATTTTTATCCAGTGCAACGTCCACTGCCGGCAATGGACACACCACAACGGCCACGATGCCCTTACAGGTACTGAGCCGTGCAAGGCTCAAACTTCCCACCTCTCACTGCTGTCAGCCCAAGGTAAAAGCCAGCATCACCTCTGTTTCTCTGGCTCGGAAGCTCTCCTGTTCATTTCAGTCCATCTTGGCCCCAGCCTTTCAGAACCGATTGTGCTGTTTTTCTCTTTTTTTTTTGTTTTGTTGTTTGTTTGTTTCTTATAAAGGGAGTTTCCTCTGTGTTCCACTGCAATTACAAATGAGACAGTGTCATCCTGTCTTCCACCAGCACAACATCTGGCCCAAACTGGTCTGTGCACTGTTTCACTGTAGCCAGAATGCTGAGAAGCCGCTGGTCCAGGGCATCCAGATGAGGGTCAGAAAGCACTGGTGAGATGGGGTCATGCGACATAGCAGTTTTTAAGGCAGATTTCAGTACTCCATTCTTCAGGTAATTGAGTCTATTCCAGGTAGAAACCCTGATGCTGCACAAGAAAAACAAAACACATCATCATACCGCTGTCTGGGTACAGTGCCATCAGCAATAACAAAGGCCAGCCTCTTGAGGGAGCCTCTCACATCGTGATTTTATCTGAAATACTGGTTTGGGAATAGCAGGGCCCAGATGCAACCGCAGCACAGGCAATATATCTAGGTGTAACTCAAAAACCTAGAGTGAAAAAGTGAGAATCTAATTGGGGCACAATTCTTATGCTATACAGAACACTTTCAGCTCTTAGCAGGGAACTCCTCCAGCCCTGAGGCCTTCTGGACAAAGTTCCAAACAAAAAAATCAATAATCTGGCTGTTCATGCAAAAACAAAACTCACACTACCTCAGGAAGAACATCACTGATCAGCAGCTAATCACAGAGGACACAAATCTGCCACTGAACTTCCGCAGAAAGCAAACACATCAGTGACCTTTCTGCTTTAATTGCCATTGACTTTTTTATGCTAGCCCATTTAAATAGTTTGCTCCAGGGATCTCCAGAGATTCTCCCAGCACATTTTTGTTGTAGAATCACTAGTCTAAACTCTTTTGCTTTTGATGGACTCCAAGGAAACAGGCAATGCAGTAAGTGTTATAACAAACCAGCAGTTAAAACAACTCAGTATATGGCTTCCTATAGTGGCATTTGCCTGGTTTCAGAAGAAAGGATATCTGAAAAGCAGGCAATCAGTCTGTTAAACAAACTTCTCTTCTGGTTGTGTTTCCAAGTCTCTACATGAAAGATTCCGAAAGATTCTCATAAAACAGGAAACTAAAAACGCATTTAAAATTAGCACAGGAAAACTAAAGAATCTGAAAAGCATTTAGTTTAATTGTTCTTCCTATGGCTTCTGCAAAAATGTTTCAGAACGTAGGTATGCTGTAGCATGCACAGAGCCCTGCTTGGAGCAAGCAGGGGCAAGAGCTCAGGCTTTCTGCTGAGCTCCCAGGTCATGAGGGATTCAGGAGACAGAACCATCCACAAACAGCCTCAAAGAACTCTCAGCTAGAGGCTTATTTTGGCAGGTTTAAGGGGGTCAATGCTATCTTGAAGTAACAGCTGCAGGAAACAGATATAACAGTACTTTTCTTCCTGGTACTTGCATCTATTGCTTGTTAATGAGAAGCAGCAGTGGCCTGGTGACAGAGGGGACAACAGGAATCAACTGCCCACAGGCATTAGAAAAAGTGAGCAAAAAACACAGTTTACAAGGCTGAAAACAAAAACCTGCAAAAATTGAAAGCCATTTTGCAAGCCACACCCTGAGCTGTGCTACAGCCTTGCTTAGAAAGAAATGAAGGCAGTTCAGCTGCCAGACATGCTGAGTTTCCGACACGGAGAGCTGTAACTGTGGTGTGAACTCCCATCCAGCAGGAGCTGGATGCAGACAGCTGCAGATGCAAAGTACCTGCTGTACTGAGTAAGGACAGATCTGAACCAATGACCTGGAGGTGAGGCTGCTTCCTATACTGCCTGATTTACTGCCTTAATAAAGATGCATTTCTCAGCCTCCTGAGCGCTGACAACGCATCAAACAAACACAGTACTTCAAAACTGGAAAGCATTTACATGAGTATTTTCAGGTTGCCAGAAAGCTTCAAATGTAATTTCATTGCAAATCTAAGGACAGCAATTGCATAAGTAAAGTCAACAGCATCTCTGCACTTCACTTACATGCAGCACTGATAAAGGGGAGCTAGGATGCTTCTTTCATCCAGGGCAGGGTTGCCAAAGCTGAAAAGCAAAATAAAAGTAAACGAGTTGAACACAATGTTGCTCTCAACATCAACAGATTTGTAAAGAATTCAAAAATCAATACTAGGCAATTTCATGCTCCAATAGCTCAAATCATTTAAATGAGAATATAAACAGGTCATGACCAATGACAGAAATAACCCTCAACAGTGTCAGCTAACATACCAGCTGCACGGAAGAAACACCAGTGTACATTGCTCTTCATCAGATCAAGGCACCTCAGGAAACAAACTGCAGAGGAGCTGAAGAACAGAGTTCATCTTGTAAAGTGGAGGAAAGGAGTAAGTAGCATTCCGGACACAGAGCGTGAGTTTTGCCTGTCTGACACAGCAGCCACACGTCAGTTTAGACTGCCAAGTTTAGACCTACAGTTCAGTGTAAACGGTGACGAAGCTTAACACTTCACCATCACACTTCCTAAGGGAGATCTGACAAAAGAATTCAATAGTATTCTAATCTTCATCTAAGCTCCCCCTCTTTATTATTACAATTTTTTTTAACTCCTTGTAACACTGAGCTGTCCCCTCAGTAAAGATAACTTACCCTATGAGCGTGGCACTACTCTGCTCCAACAATGCTGTTGTTAGTGGCTTTAAAAAGCTGTTTCCCTACACTAATCTCGAAGAAAAGGAAAGAATTTTACCCAAGCTTACAAAAAACCAATTTACTTCTTGGCCTGTAAAGCCCCACCTGAAGTGTTTCGGTAACACGATGAGCACGCACCATAAAGAAAGGTCTGCTGTGACCCTCAACTATTATATTCACTTCCCAGGGACTAACAAACTAGCATCCTCCCAGCCCACTGCCAGAGCAATACAGAAAGCCATTTTTTGCCAAATTCACCTTGAGCAATTTGAAAGCAGCAGTAATTTAGCAATCTCAAGGTAGAACACATCCTGCTGACATATTTGAAGGCGTGTTAATGAAAAGGCTAACATATAAAGACAGAATGCTCAACTCAGCCTCTTCAGACACACGAGAAGCAAAGGAAGGGGGAAAGAAAGGAATCCATAATCTGGGAGTGAAATGGGGAGAGAGCAGACACACACTTAATAGTAAAGGTTGGCCTCAGGAAGGACTGACCTCATCAGTCAGATTGACCTCACCAGAAAGATTGGCCTCATCAGTTACTCCCAGTTATTGCTACACACTTCATTTTTGTCTTGGTAACGGTTAATGTTTTATATAAAAAATGATTTATGAAGTCCCTTAAATATTTACAAATGTGCGGCTCTGCAAAAATGATATTCCTAATAATGCTATCACACCTGAAAGCACGTTTTTCCTCCTCTATCATATTTTGCTCTCAGTATCAGCTCTATCTCCATTTTAAACTTCTATTGATAGAGCAGACATACCCAGAAGGCATTGAATGCCACATCACCCAGTGATGTTATTAAGGGATCTCTTTATACCATGGCAGATCCTATAACCTAACATTACTTAAAAGAGTACAACTGAGAGGGGTTCTGTGGTAGGAGGAGCAAACAAACCTTTAAAAGCTGCTTTTAATAAAGAAGTTCTAGTGGGTTAATTTGGAAGTTTCTGTAGTTTGACTAAGGCTTTACCCAGAACAGTCATACCTACGTAAGCAAAGCACAAAGTACCACAGCCTTTGAAAATTCCTAATATTTGGTGAGTACTAAGGGAGCAAGCTTTGGGGTTTTAGGGAAAACAAAACCAAAAGCAATTACTAGTGGAAAAATAAGTGAGAGAAAGATAGAAAACGGAGAGAGCAGATCAACGTGTGCCCTCACACCTGCTGAGGCCTGGCCACTAGGATTTCCCTCACTCTCACCTTTTGGCATTATCCAGAAGGATGAGCATACTGGCTCCTTCATCATCCTGAAAGCTCTCGTAGTGATGCCGGTCAGCGTTCCCGATTAAATAGTCAAATATTGCTGTGTCAATGATATCCAGCAGGCGGGGGCCCGAGTCGTAGGGTGAAGTTTTCTTCACAGCATCACAGTAGCTTTCATCGTACTCCCATCTGCAGACCATCGAGAGAAATCAAACTAAACCTTTGAGAAAGATCCATCCTTGCACTCCACAAGTATTTACAGCTCTCCCAGTATCCGACCATCAGTGTTTAGGGAAAAGTGGAGTGCAACAAATCAAGACTCTAGAAGAAGAGCTAGACAAAGATGTTATCAGAAGAGTAAAACCTGTGCTAACGCTCTACTGTACAGAGCAAGCCATAGTTTTAATAAAAGGTTTCATGTCATCTTCCAACAGAAAAGGTCAGTTTGCTTACTCACTGCTTGCAAGCCAGCAGTGGTTGGGCTGCCTGATGGCACGGAGGATGTCCATCGTGACTGGTCTGCTCTCATTTCATCCAGATTTCAAGCATCACGTCTATTTCTACTGCTATGATCTGCCTCCATCAGCCCTGCCTTCCAGCTACTTTTCCTGTCTAATGCAAATAACTTCTTCATGGTTACTAATGATCTCCACTGGCTTCAAGAGAAGGGCCCCACGTATGCTCGTTCTCTTTCACTCACAGCTACCTCTTCCCTCTTGGAATCTCTCACCCTCTCCACTGGCAAGATTCAAAGTTTCTCTTCTCTCTCTCCTTTTCTCGTACACATCGCCTATGCACACACCTGTAGACTTAGAACATAAATATCACATCTCCATTCCCAAATCTAGGTTTCTAAATTTTCCCCTTTCCTTCTTTACAGTTTTCAGAGCTATTCATCACCACCACCAAATCAGCCAGATCTCTGGCATATTTCCCTTCCATCTGTCAATCTAAATAACAAGTACATCTATAACATCTTCCATGTAAAGAATGAAACCATCCTTTGCAAAATAGCAGTTGCCAATGTCTTCAACCATCTGCGAACTGGAAACAAATGGAGGAAACAAAAGCTGGAGAAACTGACGTGCTCAAAAATGCGCAGATTAATTAAAGCTGAGAGCAGATCAGAATTTAACACCTAGAACAGTCACACACCCCATCCTCACCTTCTAAACGTCTGGACTCTAAGCTCCCATATCCCATCTTACCCCCAGATATCCAAAGCAAAACAACAACAAATTATTTTCTCGGTGCTTTTGTTAGCACTTCTCTAGCTCCCTCTTTCTTTTGCATCCAAGTCAAACTCATATTCAGTTTACAGCACAAACCCACAAGGCAAAATCCTCAAATGTGTTCTTCCTTGTACTTTGCATTCTTCCTTTATGCTACCTACTCTCCTTCCCTGAAGCGTTTCTCTTTCTCTTATTTTACTTCAGATTGGTACTTAAATCTCTTGGAAACAAAGTTGAGATATACTCTGTTCTCCTCATTTTTCATTGAATTCTCAAGACAGATCTTTCTCCAACATTTATTACTCCTTCTTAGTATCTAATTAGCCTAGGACTTTGAAGGTCAGAGATTTTATCTATTACATGTCCATTAGAAGTCACGTAGACTAATGGCACTACATGAATTATGTTCAAGAGGCCAACTCAGGGCAGAGTATAAGCAGCGAGATCAGGAAGAAAACTCTTCTGGCTATTTTTTTCATAGTTATCAGAAGCAGAAAAAAAAAGTGAGACATCTGGAATGTTTCATTCTCCCGATGCCCTCAAAGTGAAAAACACAACACAGTAAGATGCAGAACAACAGAACTATGCAATCTGCATGAGTCAAGTTTAAACTTCAGCGTACATTAAGTGCCACAGGGAAACCCCCACATAAGCAGGTAGTGTACGATAAAAACCAGTCCCTCAGTAAGGAACACATTTCCAAGAAATTCAGTCAGTCAGTCACTGTAACTGACAGCGCCCTAAACACTGTGGATTGTGAATGGTTGAAAAGGAGACCATGTCTGCTCCCCAGAAATCAAATGGTGCTCCTAATACCCTAAAATAATTCTCGAACCCATTGGATGAGACTCCTTCTGAGGGCAGTCACAGCACTCAACCAGAATTTTAGAACACAGACTGAAAGTCTTCCCACTTGCCATGGGTACAGACTTGGTTTGGAGCTCAGTGAGCTTTTCCATCTGCTCTGGCCATGGCAAATACACGGAACTCCAATTTAAACACTAACATGCTACATTTACTGTACAGGACTACTAGAGTCCATGTTTGTTCTCCTCTAAAAGCATTTTTATATACTGAGCGTCGGCCCCAAACACCGTTGGTATCAAAAGCAGGTTTAGTGGCCCAGGAGTTTTGGATCTTCAGAGCTTAGAGTGACTGTATGGTGGAGTTATGTAAAGGGCAAGAAAAAGGAAGAAGACAGCATTCGGTACCATGGGAAACAATGAAGGTTTCTTTCTTGCTCACTTTTAAATTAAATCTCATCCCACACTTCTTGACTTCTACTGCTGTCTAAAGAAAGGCACTGACAAAAATCCAGATTTAGAGAAGACCTGCTCCTTAATTGGCCATTGTACTGCAAGGGCAATTCTAGAGTAAATCATCACGTATGAAGATTAACCTTATCGTGGTCTCATACCTGGCAAGTTTGCCCTCACGGTAAGTCCTACCCCACGGGTGCCGATGCTTCTGAAGAGGCCAGACATCTGGTAGCCAGAGAGTCACTGACCCCTCCATGATGTCCCCATCTGCACAAGCCGGTTCTGTTTCCCGACAATAGTAGCACTTTCCATAGAAGCAAGTGTTATTACCTTAAAAAAAAAAAGATCATCAAAAAGCAGAACTTCATTTGAGGGACAACCGGCAGCGTGTTGCTGCAGCAGAGCCTCCCCTGCAATAGCATTTCACTGCACTTGACCTCATGCTTCCGCTCTCTAAGAGAGAGAGGCTCAGAAGGGATTTAACAGACATCTATTCATCCAAAACAACATTAAGGACTTACACTCAAAGGCAAGAGTAATTGTATTTTCCCAGAGTAATTGTATTTTTATCACACAGAGATAATACAACACTGTGCTATCGCCAAGCTTTTATGACCCCTTCTCAATCCTTGGGAACTTGACTCTGCAACCTCAGCACCGTTTGTTTAATATTTTCTTCCTTGAAAAGGTTGACTGAAAAGGAAGAAGCAAAAAGAAAAAAAGACTAAGCAGAACTCAAATGGAGTTGGAGACCTGTGATACATTCCAGCTACGTGAGCCAAGTCAGCAGGGGAAACAAGCTGTTGTTCACAAGACCCAGGAACACAGTAGTGTCAGAAGTTTCTGAGTGTCTTCTGACAGGAGAAGAACAGCAAAACCCTGCAGTCTCCAATCCCTTAAGGGCTTTGAAGCCTGCAGGGTAAAGTAATCCAGTTGCTTGGATTAACACGTTTAGCTTAGCCTTTTCTGTTTCATCCTCCTAACCTACCTTGGCTTGAATCTTGCCAAATCAATTTCAGTTCCATTCTCAGAGGTCTTCTTCCAAAACTTTCTTCAACAACGGTATCACAAGGAAGGGACACACTCACTCCCTGCCCTTTCTTTCTCCAGCTCTACATCCATCATCCTCCCCAAATACTGACACCTGTTTTTCACTTTCCATCCTTACGCCACGGGTTCAAATCCCACATCACAATCCTTCAGTCACACAGATTTCTGTGGTCCCCTGTTCACTCAGATCTGGCTTTACACTCCTAGCATCTCACCTGGACAACTAGAAGACATCAGACATTTACAACACTGAACTTGCAGCAGACCAGGTTTCTATTTACATGGAAAGCCCTGCAAGTCTCTCTTCCTATCTGTGGCTTACTTCAGGTCTACCAAGAGACAGAATTCTAAGAGATTTCAGCTGTAGCTCTAGAAAATCAGCAGAGTATTCATGAGCTAGCTTTGCTTTAAAACCTCAGAAATTTTGGCAAACGTGAGAGACGCTCCCCCTGATGCAATCTTCTCCCCAGCACCTCCATTTCTCTGCTTTATGCTCTGTAGAACAAGAAGTTCCAAAAAATCTAAGCAAAGGCAATGAAAATCCTTTGGAGACATACTTTTCAAGCCAGTTGTTTCTGCTAGAATATTGCCTAGTTACTTTGGCTGAAACGAGAAAAAGTAAATTCTGCCTGTGGCAGACACCCAGTCAGAGTGCAAAAGGTTTGGCAAGGCAAAATTATCGCCTGAAAGGTCAACCTTATAATTGAAAGCGTTCCGTCAACTCAGTAGGTGAGACTACCAGCAGTGCTTGTAATAGAAATTCATACAGACACATACATCAGCTGTAAAGAACAACCATCGCTTAATTCGGCCCATCGAGAACAAACCAGCAGCCATTAGGAATTTCATGAGGAGCCTGAGGGAGTTAAGGCTGCACTCTAAGTCCCCTCTTGATGCTTAATGACCACCAGGCAGGAGTTCACATTAATCATCTCTAGTGAGCACTATTACATTATCACAGCATATCACTGTAAGCAACATAAGGAAGTTCTGACACGGTTATGAATGCTTACCAGAGTCTGATGTGGCACAAACAACATTTAACACCAGCAATGCACCAGCTCTAGCGATGATCCCAAATAACCACTGTGTTCACATTAAATACAATTCCATTTTTTTCCTTTCAGGTCACATCACAGACTTTTCTAACAGCTTCGGGGAAAATAAATACATTTCTTACTCAAAAAATCCTCATCTGTAACAGCAGCATTAGGGAACACAGAAATTACAGATGAAAAACCACTTGGAGAAAATGAGGCTCTCCTCCCCCGCCAAATGGGGTTACACAAGCATGACGATCTCTTCTGGCACAGAAAGAGGCTTACCAGCTTCCTGTATCACAGTTAACTGTTCTATAACTGCGTCAGAATCCCACAGTTCTTTTTTCCATTAAGCATTCTTCTTTACTGGGTTGGAGAATCCACGGAATCCACTTACCCACAGTCATGAAGGTACCCAGAAGCTGCTCTGTGGCAACTGGTTTGATCTCCGTTCGTAGATTCACAAACCTGCCAACCACCAGCGGAGCTCGTCGGAACCCCAGAATCCTGATTTGGGGGAAAAAGGGAAGAAAAAAAAAAAAGCAGAACACAAGATGAGGAATGAGAATGAACAACACGGACAGCAGATTCAATTAAAAATAACCAAACTATGCACTGTCTGTCTCTGTGCTGCTGTGCAAAATCAAGATGATTTGAGACCAGGGAATAAAGTTGGAAGGCTGCAGCAACCTCCTTGCTGCTCCAAGGCAAAGAAAGGAAATTCCTTTTCCTGACGTGCCTGCATGTTAGACTCACTCCACAGGATATTGGTGGCAGTTCTTTATTAGACCATTTGCAGCAGAGCAGCACAGGATGCATCATACTCCAAATCTCCAAAACTGGACTTTGTGCCAGAAATATCTGTTGGCTGTCTTGTGAAAAGGATCAAGCAACAACCATATGGTCTCTAGACTGGTCACATGCAAAAAATCATCTGTTTGTGGGAATTGCTACCTAATAAAATGTCATACTTAAGCCCAATTCAATCGTACTTGAAAGTACGCAGTCAAGGAATCTGGCCTTTGAACAAGGGACAATCAATGCAGCAACTGGGAGAGTCTCTCACTAACTGCTGTGGTTTTGTTTCATTTGTAGCGTGGGGTTTTTTGTTGGCTTTGTTTGTTATGGACAGCCAACCAGTAAGTCCCCAAGTACAGAATCACTCTAAGAACAGGCACCTGTCTGAAAGCGGAAGACATGCATGAAAACAAACTCGCAGCAAATACAGATAAGCAAGTTTTTACAGATAAGCAAAACGTGGGCATTGCAAGTAAATAAATGCAGAACTTAGACCTGGAAAACCTGATGTCGCCTCAGGTTCACAGCTGAAAGCCCAGAACCCTGGGCTGTGCAGCCCCTCCATCAGAGATTAACTCACAGTGCCACTCAGGTCCTTTTTGACACAATGGCATCTTGGGTCAAAATATGTAGCTGTCAGCACAACTGACATACATGCTAGTTCTGAGGGCATGGGGCTTTTGCTGGGGATTCTTGAAGAATACAAGAACACAGGGGTACACATCCAATAAGAGATTCCTCCAAATATGATGCGTAGTGGTTTCAGTGCTCAGCCTCCTTTTCAAACACCTCACAAAAATCTTTAATGACAGCAATCTGCACAGATCTTTGAAAAGCAGCTTCACAAAACACCCTTACCATTTTAACCCTAAAGCAACGTGGCACGTTGGCAGGTGAGAAACAGCTCACATCTGAGGTGTATTTTTCAAGGGACTGAAAAAGCCTTCAACACAGATGACAAAACCAGGTAGCCCAATAGTTCCATACCTATCCAAGTGAAAGGCTGCCACTTCTGCATTGTGTCTGTCATAGCCAGCATACGGTTCTCCTTCCACTACATAATCCCTGGCATACCTGTAATTGAAGAAAGGAAGAATGATTCACGCAGGATTTCCAACAGTTCAGTTGCTCAGAGTAACAAGTGCAAGAACAGTGCTAAGTTAAACACTCTCTGGGTCACTTTCAAAATGACTGCCTACGGGAGAAGGAAAATTATTAATGATTTTAAATAGAGTACAAACCACTGAAGTAGCAAATAAAGAGGAAAGATCAGTAATTTACAGTGGTCTCAAGAGCTTGGAAGCAGGGCCCATTCAAACTAATGAGCTTTAATTCAACCATATGCCAAGCCACACCTAAGAACAAAGAACACAGACCCAGCTACAGAACAGGGGCCCACTTATACCAGAGAACAGCACCTCTGCAAACGATTTTCGAGTTAGAATGGATTGTAGATGAACATGAAAACAAAACCTGATATTGTGGCAGGAATGTCAAATGCTATCTTCAGTAGTTAAAGGATCAGCAAGCGTGAGTCTGAGAATGCAGGACATAAAAAGGCCATTTGTTTTGGTGGAGAAAAGACAATTACCAACAAGAAATAGAAATCTGACACGCATCACAACAGCAGCCTTTTTTTTAAAAAGAGATGTCACTTAAATAGTCAAAGCTGAGAAATGTCAGGGATTCACGTCATCTGAATCAAGCCTAGATTTGCTAAAGAAGCATTCTTCAGATAAGCATAAAATAACAATTAATACTGAGCAAATGGATGAAACACAACACACTGTCCCATAAAGTAAGGTAAAATCAGGGTACGTATTTTCTCATTTCCACCTACAAATCTAACTGTGTAAAATGGATGTTTTTTCAAATGACCTGGGGCCCAAACAGTAGTAGTAGAAGTGAAGCCACAGGGCTCTGATGTTTTAACTCTACGCAGAGAAGATCTCTGGAGCCAGATGACATTTCATCAGCCTGAGTAAATGCTCTGGCTTCTCTGCAGGGCAGCTCAAGAATTAACCAGTGCTAGATGGCACGCAGGCTTTGGAAGGAGGATTTGAGAGATTCCTTCCGAATTTGACACTTGCTCCAAACAAGCAACTTCACCTAAACCACTGGCATGCAGTGGTAGCAACCATTAATCACTGTTCACTTTAGCTAGATTTTGAGTAATTGTGAAATGAGCCACCTTCAGAACGCTGGCTCAAAGCCAGGTCTTTTGCATACACTTACAGCAGACTCGTGAAAGCATGATCACATTTTGGAAGCTGCAGAGCTAAAACCTATTGGCATGACACAATCAACTTCCTGCTTCCATGCACGGTAGGCATCAAGTACTTCCCAGGGCAGAGGTAGCAAATCAAGAGAATCCATTCTTTTCCAGCCAGTAAGCACACTCAAAAAGCTTGTTTAACACAGTAACCTCCATACATGGTTTGGGCCAAAAGCTAGCTAAGCAGACTATCTTGCAATGACAATACAAGACTGCCTACAAGAGCAGCTATTCAGCAGCTGCAAAGGAACACAAGGCCATCCATCTGTCCTCACCTGTGGCCATATTACCTAGCACTGCCTGGCACTCCTTGTAAACACTCCCAGAAGCACAAGTTCTTCTTGCAGAACAGTCACTGCGCTTGCTTGCACAGGCATTCCATTATTGGGATGTAATTTAATGCTTGGTGATTCTCTTTATAGCACCCACTTATACAGAAAACACTACAGAAACGCCATGCCTTGTCACTGCCTTCACTGGTCACACTGCCTGCTGTGCCACCAGCACCCCTGTGTAAAAGGTTCACATGGTTAAACCCAGCACAGGTTAAAGTCCAGAAGTGAAGGGCAGATGTTTTTCCTCATTCTCTAATCATTCATTAACACGACAGAAAATCTTTATGCTCCTCAATCCAATATCCTTTGGAGAGATACGTATCGCTCTGTGATGACACTTGAAATTTGCAATGCACTCATAAGACACACCTTCCTTACATTTTTACATCTTTTTCTTCTCGTTCCTTTCCCCGAAGGCAAGCAGTTCAAAAAGCTTTACAGATGGGCTCAAGATTTCATAAGCATTCCATCATGTCAAATTTCCCTTCGGGTCACAATAAACAGAGGCCACACCAAGGAAGTATCACTGCTTGCTCCTTGCTTAATTTGCTCCTCCAGTACTCAACACTGGCAGCCAAGAAACACAGGGGTTTTTGCTCTAACCTACGAGCCATTTTTACAGTCTTAACACAGCTGCACCAGACACCCAGATAGGCTTTTAAGACCACTGTGAACTTTCATTCCTTCGCTATTCCTGAACTCCGTTCCCCCATGGCACCTTAATGTGACTTTTACCAAGAAAACCCCTCCACACCGCCAGAACCAGCACTTCCAGAATAAGGAAGATGCTTTCAGCACCATCAGGTTTAATCAACATTCCTAAAGGCTGTTCCAAGCCGTACAGCCAGAGACAGTTGGCTCAGTAACCTCAGGTAACCAGGAGGCCAACAAGGCTCTCTACCCTAACCACCTTTCTCTTTGCCTGCAAATTTGTAATGTAGATAAATGCAACAACGTAAATAAGTAAGGCAGCTACTAACTCCGCCACTGAAGAGAATATTTACCTCTTAGGTTTGAAAACAACCTTCTGCCCTCCTTCAAGTATCAGCAAAGCTTTCAGCTGGGTCCCTTTGTATCCCACGTCAGCTTTGACGATTTTCTTTGTGGACATGGCATGCATTACCGCCCCCAGCTCGGGCGTCTCCTCGGGGTACACCTCGCGGGGCACGACCCACTGGGCCGCGATCTCCCACGGGGACTGCAAGGTGTGCTCGAGCCGGGGGTCCAGCTCCACACGCAGGCTGGCCATCATGCGGTGGAAGGCGCGCTGGTCCTCCCGGTTGGCGGCTGAGGTGTCCAGGTTGTCAATGAGGAAAACTTTTGTGAAAATGAAGATGACGAGGAGGATGGCCAACAGCACAACTCGCTGCTTCAGCTTCATGGTGACCTCGGGCCCTTCTCCTCTCACCCCCCCTTCTGAGTGTTACAGGAAGTCTATTGGAGATCAGGTGAGCAGTGAGCTGTTAGTTACTAAATTTCATTTGTAACTTGCGTTGTAAAAGACAGATTGCCACCGAAGCATCTCCTGGAACTCCTGAAAGTAAACAGAACACAAACTTAAAAGATTGCCTTCCCACATGCTAAAAGTCAATCCATTCTTGGCACATAAGCCTGGATCACCTACACTTGTATCCTAAAGCCCAAGCATTTCTGTTATGTTTTACTGCCTCCCTGTAGCCTCTATGCACACAGAAGGAGAACTTGCCTCATTCCATCTCTATGGAGCCAAAATCACAACAGCGTGCTGCTAGCTGCAACTACAACAGCAGAGACTTTTACTGAAACTGTAGTTTCAGCTGATGGCTCCAATTTCACAAACACCCTTCCATCATTAGAACACATGACTTCCAGTTTCCTAGAGATATGACTGTCAAGAGAGATGTGCCAGGTTGGCCCTCTGACATCTAACAATCAGTTATAGCAGCTTCACTGCCTCATTTCTTGAAGGTGTTAAGACTTAAGTACACAACAGACTTAATTTATTGCCTTTGATTTGTAACCGCTACAATTTACTCATCTTTCCTCCATTCTTAAAGTGACAACTTCACTTTCTTGTGGTTAACTATCTATCTTATGCAGTCAACCATAACACCAGTAACCACAAAAAAAAAAAAAAAAGCAAAATATCTGTAATCTCAACAATTGAGATTCAGTTCAACAATTCAATTAACAAGAAGAAAAACAGGAAACACTAGCATTGCCTTATCCCAGAAAACTTACCCAGAGCACAGTTCTAATGGTGCTGCAAGAGGTGCCTCCCCTCTCACCAAACCTGTAACCTGTGGTGGTGCACAGCCATCGTGCCCTGCCTGCACAGCTCACCAGGGCTGCAATGGCTCCGCAGCCAGCAGGCAGCCCAAGGATCCAGGCTGCTCATCCACCCTGACACGAGCTGCCTTTGTCAGTGCTGAGCCAACTCAACAAGCTGGAGAGAAAAGGGAGGAAGCACAGTGGCTCCAGTAACGGGAGATGACACAGCACAGCCCATCTGTCTCTCTGTGAAATGGCACGCCAGCACTGCCACTGGAGAGGGGTCCTATGCTCACGTCCTTTCCACCTTTATGTAAGACCTGCTGAGCGTTAGAGCTTGGCCGCTTCCCCCACACGTGGTTCCCAAGAGTTGCACAACCACCTGAGGAGGGGATGCTGCAAGAGCAAGCATTTCTCCTGGCAGCAGCGCCGAGGATACCTGAATATGTAGGTGAGACTACAGCCCACACCAGCACGACAAAGGATAAGTGGCTGAACCTTCTGGAAGCAGCCCACCAGCAGGTACACGGACATTCCACAGCCACCCAGCAGGCCGTCCTACTTTCAGAACAGCATTTTCCATCAGCGCCACTTTGCCACCAGTGTCCTGCTCCAGGTGACAGCTCAGTTCAGCTGAGCCTTTCCCAAGCCACCCATTTTGCCTCTTAAACACTCCCTACAAACCCATCCACAAAATCTCCTAATGACGACGAGTTAAAAGTGAAACGTGGACATGGAGCTGAAAAGCCACAGCAACATAAAAACCCCATGGAGAGTAGAGAACGGGGAGAAAGAAGCCTATCAAGCTTCAGGGATGCTTTAAACCAGCACTGTGGTCATGTGCTAACCACATGTTAACTTTAATCTACTGGAAAATAAGTGCTTGTACAAATAGCGAAAGACAACAAGCCAGACGTTTATATGGTAATTAAAACAAATCATCGCTCTTCTCTGTTCTGTGGAGGCAGCCTGCATTTCTGCAAACAGCATGTCCATTTGCATACTGCATGCTGCCAGCATGATAACAAGAAGCACAGGCAAGGAAGGCATAGCTGACCCCAGAGCCCTGACTCTGACAAAAACAAGAAAGAAAGTACTTCAGACAGCCCTAAATAACAATATTATTCTTAAACCTGAAGAAAGCAAAGCAGATCAGGCTACGTCTGAGTCCCCAGTCACAATTTCATAACTCCATTTCTTTAAAACGAGTAATTCGAGATCATTTTGAACACCGCTGTTATCAGTACCTTCTTCCAGTCATTTCACAAATCCATTACTTTGTAAGAAGCTGCACGGGAGAACATCCATTCCTTTCACAATGGTCACTCCTTATTGTGAGATACGTATCCATCCATACATATATTTTAGGAAAGCCCCACAGCCCGGCGTTGGCCAAGTAAAGCACTGGATAGAAGCCGTTAAGCCATAACCATTCCTAGCTCCGACACTCAAGCCGGGCACTCCATTTCCTGGACCGATTCTCAGGCATTTCTCTAGGGGTGTTTTGGGCTGGGGAGAGAACACAACTATTGCCACCACTTTAATTAAAGGTCATTTACTTTGCTCATCCGTTGTGACAGCTCAAACTAATTCTGGCTGAAAGCCTCCAACCATGTAGATAGAAGCTAGCAAAAGAAATTAAATATTTGCTACAAGATGTTTCAGTAATTCCCTTAGCTGAAAAAGCAAAGCTTCCTCCCCACGCGATAGGACTCCTCCTCGTGCTCTGATGGAGCCCTGACCGTGGCTCTGCTCTCTGCAGCTCCGAGCAGGTGAGCCCACTGACTCCTTATGGCATCTGCCAGAAAGAGACATCAGCTGCTTTTCTCCCAGAATCAACCAAGCACCCCTGAGGTTGCTATGAGATCGATTTTGCACACTAGCTGCAGAGCCTGCACGTTACTCGCTAGTGCCAACGCGATGCTCATTGCTGTACAAAGCGAGCCAACTAAAATCAATCTTTTCATGAACAAGTTTGCCATGGAGAGCAAGAGCTTCATCTTTATTGTCTTAAATTCGAGATAGTAACAGTGACAGCACTGGGGTACTGTAAGAAAATATTTATCTCGTTTGGAAAGAAATTAATTTCTCCCAAAAGGACAACTAATTTATTTCAAATGAAAAGTACAAGCCCTTGTCACAATGGTTTGAAAAAGAGCTTGGGACATGTGAAACTGGTCCTGGAACAAGGACAGAGATGGGAAGGGTGGCCACAGAAACAAGGGAAATCATGGCTACAGTGTCATTTTTTCAAAGGGGGAAATAAAGGAGAGAGAACTCCATGGAACAACGAGCAAAAGGATCAATAAGAAAGTAAGGGACCGAGGTAAGCCTTAAGGAGACCCAACAAGGAATTGGTTTCAGAAGCAAATGGGGAAGACAAGGCAAGGATCCCCACACTGGGCAAAAAGAAGCAAAGGGACAAAGAAGCCACTTAGCTGTACACCACAGGAGCATGAGAAGTCTGAAATGATACCACATATCCTTAATATAAAAAGGCATCAGAGCAGGGAAAGGCAAACAATGCTCAAGCCTCCAACCAGAGCTAACACAACACAACAACAGAGTAACCCAGAACAACGCACCTTCCTCCCACTGCAGGGCAGCCAACACTCACCTCTCTCTAAGCTCAGGTGACTCTAAAGCTGCTGTGTTCTTTGGTTTTTCTTCCCCACTCTCTCCAGCTAGCACTATTGGACAGAAGACATAACCCAAGGAATCTGTTGCTTTATCACCCAAACTCCATCTCCATCACGCAGTACAGAAAAAAATCAACTTCCCTCTACATTGCTTTCCCATACTTGTGATCAAGCAGAAAAACCGAAACAAACAACCATGCCGGCTTTTCAATACCACAGTTAACTGGCAGGTCTACACCAAAAATACTTTCAGATTTTCACCATTTCACCAGGTGATTTCCTGACCAATTCTGCCTCTCACTACAGCCAGGTCTGTATTCTCAGCAACTAATGAATCTTCCAAGTCAATACCTAAAGGACATCATCTGCTAATTGCCACAGTTAGGTTATTACGGTTAGGTTGCAGTCGGACTTGACAATCTTTAAGGCCTTTTCCAACCGAGCAGTTCAATGACGGCAGGCTCACCACGCACACAAACACCTGAACTGAAGCATGCTACAGGCTACAAACGGCAGCAAGCACACAGGTACAGCCAGCAGCCTCCAAAGCCAGCAGAGCACAGCCAGCCGGGCAGCCACCTCTGAGGCATCTCTGTGCAACGTGCTCCAAACGACGGAAAAGGTCCGAGCGGCGCAGAAGTCTGCAGCAGGACACAAAACACCAAGGTTTGAGCAGACGACAACCTGAAACAAATACGGTCGTGCATGCTCTAATTCCTGTTCAAACACACGTTTTCTTTCCCTACGCCTTTTGGAACCTCCTACGAAAAGGCCCGCTTAGATTTTTCACCTCATTCTGTCACTTCCACTCTCTGCATGCTGTGCCGTGCACTAGTAGGTAATCCAGCACACAAAGCTCCACCTGCCTCTCTTTTTCTGTAAAAACTCCCACTTATCCGCAGGCAAAACCTCACTGACAGCCTATACGCGAACTTTTCTTTACACAAGGAAAACTAAACCTCCAGCTCCCAAGGAGCGCGAACGCAGCGCGGTCAGAAGGGCTGCGGCGTGAGGTTGCCCTCTGAAGGCGGTGAGCGCCCGCATGGCAGCTCGAGGCCGCGCAGGTGCTGCTCCCTCAGCCGCGGCGCGCGCCGCTGCCCAACGGCCCTAACGGCTCCGCCTTCCCGCCACACGCTCACACACACACACGCACCCTGAGGGCTCCCAGGCCAGAGGCGCTCCGCCGAGCCCCGCAGCGCCCCGGGCAGGGGCGTGTCCGCCCTCAGGTGCCGCTACTCCACCTGAGCCACGCAGGCACACGCGGAGCGGATCGACCTTCCTCCCGCTGCCCGCCGCTGCCCGCCACCACCCCGCCCCCGCTCTCACCGCGTCCCGCTCCATAGCCCGGCCGGCGCCGCCGCCAGCTCCCCAACATGGTGCCGCCCGCCGCCCCGGGCCCGCCCCGATCGCCGTCCAATGAGAAGCCTCCGTCGCCTCGCCGACGGGACGCGGCGCGCACCTCCATTGGTCGGCGCCGAGCTCCCCTGTGCTCCCTCCGCCAATAGGGGAGGCGGAAGGAGCGCCACCTGCGGCCGGCCAATGGGGCGGGAGGAGGAGAACGCGGGCATTAACCCCGTCCTGCCCGCGGCCGGCCCTGCAGTGCGCAAGTGTGGGTGCGCATAGACAGCCCGGCATCCTAAATACAGCGCTGTAACTGGGGATGCAGGACAGCTGCATTGCATTACAGCCTTAACAACAGCCACCTACAGCACTTACAGTGCCAACGCCGCTACAAAAAAGTTCCCCCTGTCTTTACACGTTTCTGACCGTGCAAATCAACGCGGGAGGGTTAAGAGAAATCCACCACAGCAGCTCCACACATAGGGCAGAAAGGCTCCCCAGCACCCCTCCAGGAGCAGCTGTGGGCTCCGGCACCCACATCTCCCTGGGGCAGCTGGCTCTGAGGCTACAGCCCCTCATCCACCCACCCCACAGCCTGAGGTGAGGGGTGGCACGGCAGCCCAGGGCCAGCAAAGCAGTAGGCTGTATGCCTGTGGCTGAGAAGGAGCAGCTTAGGCCTCTCCGGTGGTGCTGGGTAGCCGTAACCATCCACAACCAGCCAGAAGACGGTGGGGATTTTGGTTGCCTTGTACCTGGGATTCAACCTTTCCTGTGCAGAGCAGCCCTGCAGGGTTGGTGCAATGCTCAGCATCGTCACAGCACTGCTTGTGTTACCGTTGGCTCACTCTGACCTCATACAGAATCACAGAACGGCCAGGGTTGGAAGGGACCTCAAGGATCATGAATCTCCTACCCCCCTGCCATAGGCAGGGCCACCAACCTCCACATTTAATACCAGCCCAGGCTGCCTAGCACAGCCTGTCTTCACAGGGGAGGTGCTCCAGTCCCCTGATCCTCTTTGTGGCTCTCCTCTAGGCCCTCACACACGTGAAAGCAAAACTTCCCCCTCATTTAAGACTGCAAAAATACTGTCTGAGATGGAAAATATATTCCCTTCCAGGAGTTTTCCATTTTTAACTGAGAAAAAAAAACCTTTTCTTTTTTCAACAGAACTTTGAGCAATCCTACCTAACATCTCTCAGCATCCCATCACACTCTAACAGCTCCAGCCATCCACACACAGGACACTTTTCTCGTGCAGTGTTATTGCTAGAGGGAAAGGTACATATCAGCATCTTCATGCTACGTGTATATGCATGTATATGAATAGTACCCTCTCATTGTTATGGACCACCTCTCTGCTGACTCCTCAGCTAATTAAAATTTTAAACCCAACCACAATTATGGCTTTCATTATTAATTAACACATCAATATTGAAGTGCCAAGCAATGTAGCCATAGAAATGTTGAGAGTTCCAAGGGGCCAGGTGCGTTAGGTTATGCATAAGGCGAGGGGCTGGGATAGAGGAAGGAAAATGGTTGTGATGGGCCATCATCTTGGAGAGCTGGCAGGCAGAAAAGCTCCAATGTCCTTTGCCAAGGAGGCAGCAGACTGCAGGAAGATCACAAAAAAGAGCTGATAGAACCACGGCTGCCAGCAAAACCTGAACTGGTACTGGGCATGGGAGCTCGGGCTGGGGAGCAAGGTCTGAGTAGGGGAGAGCAGGCCAAAGACGACCTCAAAAGCTGGGCCCAGTGTGGGAAGGAGGCCAGAAAGACTGTTAAATAATTCTATCTGCTCCAGGAAAAATCTCAGCATGCTCTGAAGAAAAAGCTTTAAATCAACATAGGCACTGTCACCAGATGCTGCACAGATCTTCCTGCTCAGAGAGGTGTGTGATCCTGGCAACAGGCTGAAGCCAGGTTTTTAAAGTACAAAAGAAATTCCTGAGTTGAGAACAACACTTAGATTCAGCCAAGCAAGCTGACTGTTGCTCTGCAGAAGGTATCTATGTAAAATAAAACCATGAGCCAATGGAAACAATAAGCTGAAGCCACAGAAATTATTTCAGACAGGGTGACACTGAGGGCAAACTCCAAACACAAGCCCTCAGACTGAAATTCTCAAATAAAATAGATGCTACCTCCTTGCCCTTGGCGAAGCCATGCTGCTTCTCACATATCACCTCCCTGCCTCCCATGTGCCTTACCATCGCTTGCAGGAGGATCTGCTCCATCATCTTCCCCAGCACAGAGGTGAGACCAGCAGGTCAGCAGTTCCTGGGATCATCTTTTTTATCCTTTATAAAAATGGGTGTGATGTTGCGTTTTTTCCACTCACCAGGGATTTCACCTGATTGCCATGGCTTTTCAGATACCATTGAGAGTAGCACATGAATGGCATATGGGCTTTGGGTGAAGTATAATGCGTGTCAGAGTCTCTTTGATAACCAGGTCTCTGCAGCAGACTCAGGGTTTGCAGCTTTCTTGCTGACTGCATATGGCCCCATTCACCCTGCTCACATTTACCATTCCAGCTTTATCGAGACATAAACCAGCCTAGCACAAACCAGAGCTTTAACCATCAGCTAAGCCACACAAGCACTCATAGAGCAGAAGAAAAGCAAGCTTGCTGGCATTGGAAGGACCAGACAGATCAGGAAGGCCCTCCTAGGCCCGTCCAGAGGGAAGGATGGAATACTGCTTTGAGCAAGATTTCTGATGCTCCCCAAACCCAGGTGAAACAGAAACTGCTTGCTGTGTATTCCTACTCTACCCCTTGAGCCCAGCAGGCCCCTTTCCTTGCTCCTGTCTGTTTCTATGCTTGCTTATTGCCAAACCCTGTCCCCTGGTGCCACAGCAGCGGTTCAAGAAGTGAAGAACCCAATTCCCTTTGCCACCAACCTTTCTTTTTCAGAGTCATTTTGAAGAACGAAACAAAGTTAGTTCACTTGGTTTCCTATGGGGCGTGATGACATCTGCATCCTTCACATTAGAAGCTGTGCTGGGCTAACGAGGAAGAACATGGAGTCATTGAAACCTCAGAGATGCCTGCACACAAAAAACTCATAACTAAACAAACAAAACCCAACAAAACCAGGTGGCTTTTCTGTGCTTTCAAGCTTTGCAGCAAAGGAATGAAAGATTAAAAAGCCTTCTTTTATCATCGCAGAGTATTTTCAAATCAAGGTGCAAGTCTGGCTTGCTCGTCTCATGAAGCATCAGTGGGCGTAATCAGTGTTTGTAAGGTAGAATCCAATACAGAAAAAGTTCTGTGTATGTTACAGAAAATCTTGTTTGAAAGATTAGGGCTAAGCACAACCTGGGAAAAAGGAAGAGAAGGAAGAAAAGGAAGAGGTGCCACAGTAGAGGAGCATTTTGCTGTTATTGCTAGAAACAATAGAAGTGTTAGATACAAGGGTTGAAACAAGAGTACTCAAGGAAGTTTCTCAAGACAGACTGAATCCCCTTCACTTGAGAGACAGCAAGGAGTCGCCGTGCCTCAATAGTGTGCCAGTCAGGCTGAGCAGGTTTCTATATCTTTGCTTCCCTTCCTGTCCTGTATGTCAGTATTAACTCAAATAAAGATGTTCAAAATCATATCTGACTACAGAGCAAAGCCAGTACACTGCACAGAGGCCCCAGAGGTTCCTCCTATCGCTCTCTTAGGCTGTCAGCAGTCATGGCAATTTTTTTTCTTTTATCAGCACAACTCTTATCTGATTCACAGCACGGAAGTGCTTCATTCTTCAAGCCAGCTCCTTGAAAGCATGCTCAGTGCTTTTAAGAGAGGTCAGACAGGCTGAGAACTGACTGTGGGGACTTTTACTTTGTGCGTATTTTTTTTTTCCTGGAGTAATTTAATCTTGACCCTAACTTGACTGATTGTGAGACTGCTGAGGTTCTAGGGCTGCTTTCATGCCAAAGGCTGCCAGCTCCTCTCCTGGTGAGAGGGGAGACCACCCAAACTCACCCAACTTTTGTTTGAAAGGAGTGATTGATGCTGTTTGTACTCCACGGCTGCAGGTTGAAACGCTTCCTTACAGACATGACACGCTTCCTTCAGGGCAGCAGGCAGTCGCTGCAGAACATGGAGCAGATTTATCTACCCACTTCTGATCAGAAGGCAGCACAGCTTCGAGGCAATAAATCCAGGAGACAACTGAAAGGAAATACACCTTTGTCAGCGATGGCTCTTGGGGCCCAAGGCAGCCCTGCGGAGGGGAAGCACACGTCATCCGATCTGCAGCTGGCACGGCTGGGAATATTGCGTTTGGAACACACCCATGTGGTGTTTTGGGGGGTGAGGGGAGGGAGAAAGCACGCTCAGCCATTTTGAGGT